AAAAACATAAACCAGCCCAGTGAGGTTCCACGAGAGGGGTTTCGAGAGGGTGGTGTATGCAAGTGTTACCCCTACTTTTAACAGTAGAGAGTTTGCTTCTGAAAGACTCTCAGATTAATAAAAAACATGAAAACACATTAGAACAATCAAATATTAAACGATGAAAGTGTCTTAGGAAAGAAAAACTTACCCTAATATTAAACTTTTTCCTAATTTTGGTTCGACAGATTCCCAAATATGCTCCAACAGATATGGTAAAGGCAATGGATAAGTAGAGAAAATAGTGTCTCTTGGTGACGACAAATGCTAGCATGTTTATGAGGGCTATCACAACAGCAATCATATAAATAAATCCCTGCACACAAAAAGAGTAACTTTTAACATCAATACACATGATAGCTTTAACCACCCACAGATGAGAATAATTAGTAGTGTAATTAGCATAAGTTGATTTGAAGTTAAATTGATTAATTATTGACTATTTGCAGTACATAATGACTAATGGCATTCCCACGAACTTAGTTATGTCGAAAAGTATCAACCTGAATGAAACAAGATCGTGAACCGGCTCGTTTCATGTTTTTTCCAAATCTGTAGCACGGGCAGCTACAAGACATCATTCAAATCAGCAACAAAACGACAAGTTCCGGTTTAGGAAACGTGCCAAAGCTAGAACCCTAATGAAAAACTAAAAAAAAGTTTCTATCCAAACCATTAACCATAGATCACTATATCAAGTAACAGATCAAATTCAGCAAAAGAACAAAAAACCAGACAAGAACCCTCACCAGCTGAAACCCTAATTAGGTAAAACAATACTGAAGAAATAACAACATAAAACAAAATTTCTTGCACAGTTCCGAACTTCAATCTCATCTATAAACGCCCAGACACGAAGAAGTTCAAATCAAAGTTCTTCAACTGGTGATTGAGAAGGATAAAAAACAAAGGAAACCCTAACCCTAAATTGGGGGTGGTGCCATGGCAAATCAATACAGAAGCAGCAAAATTATATGCAAATACCAAGTGGATTGAAGAGCGATTCGGCGGTCATCTAAGCAATCATACAGAAGCTCGCCTTCCCACATCCTAAAAGCTCCTCTCCCTTCACCGTATCCATGGCGGCCGGCACCACCATCATCCACTTCACCTTCCAAATTCACAAAGTTGCCCCATTTCCCACTCTGCACCTGCATGGCCACCGTCGAGCACAACATATCGAAATCCAGCATCGCCACCCCGTCCAATAACCTCTCCTCCTCCGCTTCCCCTCTCCCATCGCCGCCTGCTGCGCCGCCCCTCTCCATTCTTATCCTCTTCCTCTCCTCTCCTCTCCTCTCTTTCACAAAAAGACACAAATAGATAAAGGGTATATATCGGTGGATAAACGGTGAAACTAATTAATTAATAATTTATTCATTCTGAGAGATTTCTTTTTCTTTTTTTCCCCCTTTTTTTTGAAGGAATGAAGAAGAAGAAGAAGAAGAATGGATTCTGTGTGATTGGTGAAGAAGGGCAGCCCAAAACCTATTTAGGGAAAGAAATGAAGAATTTGTGAAGCAGAAGGGGAGGGGTTATTAATTACAGTGTTTAAATAAAGAAGAAAAAGATTAATTACTCGAGTACTGTAATTAATTAAGGTAAGAAATTGGGATTTTAGTTGGGGCATCTAATAATAATGGAAAGTGTGGCCCACTTTTGACGTCCAAGCTGGCGCCACATGCGCCCCCGTGGATATAGCCTTTATGTTTTTCTCCCTTGTTATCCTCTCCCCATTTTCCATTTAATAATTTTCTACATTGAAAATTGCTAAAACAATTCCATTTTTTTTGTTTTTGTTTCATCGTACAGTGTATATAACTCCCATTTGATTTTTCACTTTCTATTTGCATTCTGTTCTATATGCAATACTAAATCGGTCCCAAAATGATTTATACTTTTACCATATAAGCTTCCCGATAATTTTTATTCACTCGTGGATTTTCATTGATCATTTGATAAAATAAAATGTTCTTGTCGCATCTTGTTATGTAAAATTTTTTGTGTAGCTTTTAAAAACTCCATATGTAATTTGTATGGAGTATTTTTTAATTTCTATAACAACTTGTAGATAAAATCATTCTAAAAAGATAAGATTTTACATGTTATTCGAAAAGTATAATAAATTTAGGACGGAGAAAATGTCATTTATTTTCTTTTTTCATTTTTTTGAACGGAATACGTGTAGCATCAACTTCTCTTATATAAACGCAAATAGTCACAAACTCATTTGATCTAAGAAAATATTTTATAATGCACTTATGATGTTAATAAAAAATAGTCCATCTTTAGCAACAACAGCCTGGCTAGTTGGATCCAAGGCTAGTGGGGTTTGAGCAATAATCCATCTCTATATATCATTCACTTAATTAAGTTCAACAAACTGTTGTAAAAACTATCATTAATCTTAATTTAATTAAAATTGGGCCTAAAAACATTTATAACATTATACTCCCTCCGTCCCCCATAGATCTTCCCATTTGTCCTTTTTATTTGTACCGCATAGATCTTCTCATTACCTTTTTTTAATAATTAAAATACCACAGCTACCCCCACTTACTTTATTTATTACACATTTTCCACTTTATTTAATACACCCACCAATTTTCATTAAGGGTATTTTGGTAAACTTTCACCTTTTTTCAACTCTCCTAAAAAACCGTGAAAAATCAAATTGAGAACATCTTACATGGACGGAGGGAGTAATAAACTGTATTTTTCACCTTATTATGAACTCTACTTATACATATTTTCTCAATTTATTGAAGCACAATTAATGAACACCTCTATTAGGATTTAAAGATGTGACTTCTCATTTTGAAGAGCACGTCTACTTGTACAAACTCTCACTTTTAGGTTGACACGTTTATTAAAAAAATAAAGTTATGTGATTATGATTATAACTCAAAAAAAGGTGGAACACTCGCCTCAGACGCTTCCATACTCCATCCCGTGGGAGTGAAATGAAGAGGTAAGTCAAGATATACAATTAGTGAGGTATATGGAAAGGCAGTCACATGCCCGAATTGATAGAATAGTAAAATTTATTTTCTGTTATTAATACAAGCTCACGAGACCTATATCCAAGCACATCAAGACAATAATAAAAAATTACTTATCAAAATTTTTAAATCAAGAAAATTTGTTCTTTCATATTTAAATTTTAACGGAATCCATTTGAAAACTCAAAAATGATATAATTTGTGAAGATTAAATAATGTTACTGAAGTAATAATTGTCATCATTTTATTGATTTAAAATATCCGGAGTATATAGTTTGTATTACTTCCTCCGTCCCAATTTATAGTGCTTGTTTATTATTCACGAGACCAAACTTCATTCTCTTTCTTTATCTATTTTCGTTGGTAATTTGATAAAATAATATATTATTGTCACTACTAGTTTTGTAGATCTTTTGTAGTATTTTAATATGTAATTTTTATTTTTTAACTCTATGCCTTAGTCATATAAAATGATTTGAAAATAATTTCAGTCAAACATCATAAACCGAAACAGGCACTATAAATTAGGACGGAGGGAGTACAAAATACCGAGTATGATGATATATGCGACAATTTGATTGGTCTTTCCGATTTGATCTTTATGAAAGAACTAAAAATAAAATTAGAAAATTAAGGCATCGTCGTTAAAAAAAAATGAACCACACACTCAAACAAGTAAAAGGAACTCCAATTACTAGCATTATATTTTTGCTAAGATAAAGTCCTCCTTTTTTAAAGAAAACTTCACCTATAAACACTATTAAATTATCCTTAAATTTTAAAATGGAAGAATAATATGCGAAGTGTAACTTCAATAATTCTACTTCTTTTGCATCCACTCATCAAGAATGAAGAATGTTAGCCATAATTTCTTTTTATTAGTGTCATGATTGTCATCATGTTGTATTCAATTCCAACACTTAGTGTTGATAATAATAATTGCATTATCACATAGAAGTCCATATAATGGCAAGTTTCTAGCATTAACAACTCTAATGCAATTTTTTACCTTTTTTTAGCTTCATTTAATTAATGGTCAAAGTAATCCATTTTCGCAAAATGAATCAAACTGAACAAGTACTTTAAAAGTAAGATATACTTCCTCTGTCCACCTAGGATCTTCCCATTGCGCGTCACGAGGTTTGACCGACTTTATTTTCAATTTAATTTATTTGAATATAGGAGTAAAATTTTAGAGTAAATTTCATAATTGATCCTTTATAACATGAGGATTTCCATATTTAGTCCTTTATTATCAAATATTACTCCCGTAGTCCTTTTTTTAAGAGTACATTTCCATAAATGGTCTTTTTTTAATCTTCTGCTGTGTTGGTGTTAATTTAAAAGCTAAAAGTATAATTTAACATCAACATTATGTTTAGTGACGTATTCTGATATTGGTTAAGCGGATAAGACAAAAATAATGACTATGATTGTGGACTAGGATTTTGATGAAAGAACACATTTGTAGACTATCGTTGTCGTAAAAAGCGACTTTGATTCACAAACGACACAAACGGAACAGTCTTTGGAATTGTGTATGACAAAAAAGATATAATATCATTGTAAAATTACACTTTTAGCCCTCAAATTAACACCATGATAGAAGATCAAAAAAGGACTATTTGTGGAAAGGTACCTATAAAAGAAGGACCACTGGAATAATATTTGATAATAGAGGACTAAATAGCGAAACTCTCCTGTTATAAAGGACCAATTATAGAATTTACTCAAAATTTTAATATAAAATCTATGTCGTAATAAACTACATGAAAAGTTCTACAAAACTAGAGGTGACAACATTATATTATTTTATGAAATGAGTAGTGAAAATAAACAAACAAAGTAAATTAAGTTTGACCCTATGAATAGGATCTGGGAATATTTATGGTGGACAGAGGGAGTAGTATTTTTCACACTAAAATAAACCATATCCCCCACCTTTCTACGTCAAATAAAGAAACAACCCAAATCCCACGGGTGAAAATCTACTTGACTAATGGCTGGGGCGGTTGTTTGGTTGAACGCTCTGTCCTTTGGTTGGATCCAAAATCACTTCAAGCAATCCACCCAAACACAGCTCATCTATTGGTGGTCGGCAAAGATATTTATAAGACTAAGGTGCGTTTGGGAATTAACTTCACCATTTCGCATTAACATTGCTATGGGAGAAAAGCGTTTAGCCATAGCATTTTCAAAATTATTCTCCACCATCAAAATTCCCAAACAAGACCTACACCTTACAAGTTCAACAAACACCAATAAGAAACTTCAATAAGCATAACCATAAAACAAAACAGACTGAACAAAACTTTATCAGTAATATATCATAAAACATAGAGACAGTGTCACTCTGCTGATTTGACTAGTCAGGACCCTTTATCCAAGAGATCCATTCATGAGAACAAAGAAACATAACAAACCTGGAGGAGGATAGGATGGGAAGTTCAGACAAACATTGTCAATTCAGGCCTGCTGTATGTATTGTTACCCTCATCCTCCAGAAGAGGGTAAGCCGCGACGAGTGCATCCTGGGCCCCAATGTACAGTGAATTATAAATCTTCCAGTAAACCTCCCGAACCTTGCGCGCCGGGTGGAACAGTCCCTGCAGACAATAGTTGAGGATGACAGCAGCACCAAGTGCCACGCGCATACCTTCGATGGCCTCCATGACTGCATTGATGACGTGCGGAGAAGTTTCAAAGATGTTTGGCCAGACATAATTCAAGAGGTGTACCAGAGCATCTTCACATCCAAGACCGGCCACCCCCAATGCCATGTGCTTCACTGCAGAAGCTGCTGTTTGTCTGTGAACCAAATCGCGATCCATCAAAGCGTCCTCCAGCAGGGGGGTCACTGCATATATGTAGTCCTTCCCCATCTCCCCAATGTACTCGAAAAGGAAGGAAAGGGATTTCAGCACGCCGTTCTGGACATTAAGCTCCTGGACCCGATATTCATTCATCAGTGCGGGTAGGACAGTGAAGGGAAGGCAAGTTTCTGCAACAATTGCAATTGCCACTGTTGTGCAGACACGGTTTTGCCGTTCCTGGACCTTGAGGTTGTTCAACAGTGTTGCAAGCACGTCTTGGGGACCAATTGCTTTGGCAATATAGCCGAATGTGTTGACTGTTGCTCGCCGGATACCCTTTTTATGGGCTTTAAGCATCTCGAGAAGCTCAAAACAGATTCTCATCCATTCTCTTGCAGGTACAAACTCAGCCCCACGGTCAGCAATACGCCCAACCAGATCGATACAGTTCTCTTGGACTTTCTCGTGACGATTCTTCAAAATAGGGGTTAATCGTGGAAGCAAGTCTTTGATTGGAGGTGTCATCTTAGTCATACCAATGACATTCACAATCGCCTTGAGGGCACCCAATATGGACCCAAGAACCTCTGGATATTCTTCTCCCAAATACTCGTACAGCACCACACCAAGATGGCCCATTAACTGTTCTTCCCCACACTGTTTCATGACCACTGCAATCCTGGAAATCAAATCCGCAGCTTGTTGTCTCACCTTGGCACTCTTGTTGTTCAGGCGCCACTTTATGGTACCACAAATCTGGGGAAGGTAGGGCTTCACTTTCTGTCCAAGGGAATTGACAACAGCACCAAATCCATTCAGCATTACATTGGCATCATCACTCGTCTGTTCTTGGAACGCATAAAGGATTCCATCAATCAGAAGCTCTTCTAAACGAGCATCGATGTCAGATGCACCTAGATTTTCAACAACCTTCTCAATTGTCTCCATCACCATTCTTCTATATGGTTCGCTCTCGTCTTTTAGATCTTCCACAACTCTCCCCACTATATCTGCAACACCCACCTTGTTGGCAATTTCTACTGTTGTTTCCACAAGCTGCCTGTAGTTACGACGGTCCAATGCCATTCTTCTTACCCAAAAATTACGGAAGAACTCCGGAAGAATATCGGTCCTGATATAATCAGCCTCCACGCCTTCTGTGCTCACACATTGTTTCACCACTTTCAACACAATTTTCTTCATCTCCTCGTCGGGTGATTGAAATTCACGGATAAGAATAATCATCACCTCCTTGGTATAGTAGCTGGCATAAACGGCGTCCATAAGAGGAATGATGAAACCAATTGCCTTCAAAAATGCAGCCAAAACTTTTCCACGGTGCGATCTGATACCCTTCCATAAGGGCTTCAACACAGAATCGAAGCTCTCGATGCCATATGGTGCAGCAGCCTCGGCAAGAGCCGCCAGGGAAAGAGCTGTGATGGTCCGAACCTTCTGGTTCTCATCGTTCAATCCATGTTCTATGATTTCCACTAAAGACCTCAAGTGTGGAAGAACAGCACAGCCAATTAAAATTGCAATCTGTTGAACAATCTTGATACCTGTGTGACGAGCCTGCCAAGATTTCTTACTCTGACAAACTGCTTTCAAAAATGGCAGCAAGGCGGGAATTCCAAGTGCAGAGGCAACAACACTAAATGCTCTGGCTGTAGTGTTCCTGACGTATTCATCAATGTTGTCAATATCTGGGCGCATGGCAGCAATCATGGTAGCCAAACCAGCTGCCTTGCTAAGGTTCGAAATGATCTCCCTTCCTTCAACACGGGCATAGTAATCTTCATCAATGAGTAGAGGCTCAATCACCACAAGAATCTTGTGTACATAGGGACGGACCAACTCATCTAGCTTGTAAAGCACCCTATCAATGACTTTGACCAGTAAGTGTCTCTCTTGATCCTCTAAGGTTGGTTGCATGAGCAGTGGCAGAATGCGGTTGAAGAGCGGGCCCGCACCAAAATCCCTGGCCTTATCAGTCAGTTGCCTCAAAGCCGTTTTCCTCTGAGGGGGTGTCCCATTCTTGACCTTCAGCAGTAGTTTCATAATCTTACGTTCCTTCTGCTCATCAGGAGAAAGCTCCTCCTCGTCATCCTCATTCAACAATGCACCAAAGTATTGGTAATCCTCAGGTTTCATAAGTGGCAACCCACCAGGCATTTCTTTCGGCACGTCAAACTGTTGGCCCCTATTTTCCTCAGGAATGTTGTAAAGGGGAGTCCCGATCGGGGTCGGGGTGGCAAGAAGCTTTCTGGCTGGGGTTCTAATTGGAACATAGGAAGCTGGGGGTTCCAATATCTTATAGCCCTCTTGTGGAAACATTGAGTCGAGCTCCTCATCCGTTAAAGGGCGGTTTCTTTCTTCTATGTCCTTTTCCCACCTCATTAGATTATATTGTTCAGGTGTAAGAGGGCCACGCATATTAATTGCACCAGGGGTTGGAGTGGCCAGTTCACTTCCCCCAAAAGGAGTTACACCTGGAGTATAAGCCCCGGATGGGGTAGCACCATCCATTGGCGTTGCACTACCCATTGTTGCAGGAGTTTCATCCCACCTTGATCTCTGTCTTTTGGGTGTAGGGGTAGCAAGACCCAACATTTTTGGAGTAGAATCCCAAGTCATTCCGGCAGGGGTGGCACCAGGAGTGGCACCACCGGCTGAAGGGGTGGCATCTGAATCAACCAGACGGCCAGGTGTAGGGGTTTCATCCCACCTATTCCGCCTCACCGAGGGTGTGGCATCACCAACCCTCCCAGGGGTAGGGGTTGCATCCCATCTGCCTATCCCAGGGGTCGAGTCAGGCTGATCCCAGTCAGAACCTGACTTGGCCTTCTTCTCTTTCACACTGTTTTCATCCTGAGACTGATCCCACCTATTCCTCCTCTTCTGAGCTGATGGCTTTTCTGCACCATTTTCCTTCTCAGCAGCTGCCTTTGCTTCTTCTTCTTCCCTCTTATTCTTTTCAATTTTATTCATCAAATCTTCTTTCTTTCTTTTAAGAAACTCCTCGTTGTAAACATCAGCATATGTCCTCACATTTGGGTCAGGTGTCTTGTCCGAAAAAGGGTCATTCCTTTCAGGAGATATAACACGGTTCAACCTTCGCCTCCTATAATCATCCTCCCTATCGATGATCTTGCTCGGTTTGTTAAACCCCAAATTCTGGTCCTCATCCCCACCACCTCTCGGAGCCTCTTTCAGGAACTGTTTTGGTGCCGTGAAAGAGGCCATCTTTCGGGCAATCTCGTTCTCGGTATTCTCAAGAGCATCTTCCTCATCATTAACTGGTATTGACTTCTCATAGCCCTCAAACCGGTCCCCACTGTACAGATCAGTATCAAATGTCACAGCAGTAAGAGAAGCAAGCTGCTGCTCCATTTTCTTCCTCTCCTCCTGTGTCTTCTGTATCTCGTCATCCATTTTGAATCCTCAGTCAACCTTCCTCTCAAGCTAACAACTTCAAGGAAATAACTTAACCCTAGTTTTCCAAACCGGCTACTGGCAGAATATCTTGACAAATCACTTCACGGAAATCTCAAGATCAAGCACCTGGATTGAAAACAAAACAACAAAAGCATATAAAATCGCAAATTCAATAAAATAAATCAAAACCAAATACCTCACTGAAACCAGAAAATAGGATCTGTACAGAGTTTGGCATCCTGGAAAACATATATGGGCAATTGAAGATCTGAATATTAGTGTTACAGATGATAAGAACATCGACCAATTGCGTTTTCATGTGATAATCGAAAACAATATTTATTAATTATGTTTGAGAATATTTCATAATGTTTGGAAATTGAATCGGAGAAAACCGGAGGTAGATGATGGAAAACCAGATACCTGAGGAAGACCGAGTGGCGAATCGGAAAATGGAGGCCGGAACCACCGTCGGGGTATGAAATCTTAGTGGAAGTCGGCGTTTTATAAGTCGGCGATGGGAGATGAAGATGTGCGTCCAAGTGCGGCGATGCAAGATGAATAGGGGAACGGATAGATAAGTGAGATAGAAGAAAGAACGGAAGAGGAGAAGGGCTTTTGAGAAGGGCTTTTACTTCTTACTTTGTTCTACCTTCCCCTCCCTCCATCCAAACATAGTCTTGGATTCAAGGTCCAAGGGTTCCTATTTTTTAGACCTCACAAAAAATAACTTGATTTATTTTTTACTTGAAATTGTACTTAAAAATATCGAGTTTTGAACAAAATTTTTGCTGATGGGACTCGAAGTTGACCAAATCTGAAATAACCCGTTAAAAATGAGTCAAATTTGACCGCATTCGACTTGACCGATCCGCTAATGTAAAAAATTTCAAAAGCATATATTTTAATATGAAATATAATGTTATAAAAATAAGATTATAATTATATTTATTTGCTTACTACTCTTTTTTGTGTATAAATTTATATTTTCATACAAAACATTAATAATGTCACATAATTATCTTCTATTTTTCAAAATTTCTGCATATTTAATTTTTTTAAATTATAATATTGACACTAGGTCATAAAAGTCACTTAAAATTTCAAAAATATAAATGAAACTCGTAACGTGTTGGATCGATCCAATTCTGATGACACTGGGTTATGAACATGTAGAATATATTCTTTAGGACTAGAAAAAAGAATAGACTGTTAAAAGAAACTCGAAGAACAGGAAGAAATTGGAAGTAACTAGAAGAAACTGGAGAAAACTAAAAATAACTCGAATGAACTGGAAGAAATTCAGAAAAATTGGAAAACCTAAAAAAACTTTAAAAATTTTATTTTAGCGTATTTTTATATTATTCTCATTCCAATTCTTGTTGTTATAAATTATTATTATTATTATCATTATCACGTTATCTTGATGAATATCTTTAACATCAAAAAAGTATCGTTATTTTTCATATACAAAGAAAATACTTATAATATAAAATTAGCATAAATATAAAAATGTTAAATTTTAAAATTTTATTGTGGTTACGTTGCGCTTCAATTTATTGTGTACATTTTAGTGATTTTACTATCCATTGTGTACATTTTACTATCCATTGTGTACATTTTACTACCCATCACCCTCATTGTGTACATGAGCGTCTTATTGTGTACATTTTACTATCCATGACCCTCATACTACCTCTGTCCCAGAGTATTTATCTATTTTCATTTTTACACACCATCCAACGCACTTTTTAAATCTATTTTATCTTGTAATTTGTATATGAAAAAATTATAGAAATTATATATTAATAATCTATATGTTAAGACAAATCAAACAAAATCACACATAACTATACTTAGGCTTACACATTGAGATAATTTGAAGAGTCAAAGTGCTTAGATGAGAAGTTCCAAAAGTCAAAAGTAGACGAATATTCCGAGACGGAAGGAGTATTATTTATTGAATGTAGTACGCTGTAAAACTTAATTTTTATTGGTGATGCACTATTTTATTTTAAAAGGTTATGTAGAGAATGAATTCTTTATGAATAATTTATTTGGGGAATTTTTCCCTATCCATTACTCTATATGGGAGTAACTAATTCTGGGATGCTACAAGATTTATAAATCACAAAATTATTTATTGCGGGAATTAAAGTGGGGAAAAAAAGAGAAAAAAATACACAATCCATAGTAATTTACTATTTAGTAAATTACGGAGTTTATTTTTTAAAAACAATTTACTTAAATAACACTAAAATATAATGACTTAAATTTTAGAGTAAATTCTCAAAATAGTCCTTTGTAATAAGGTATTTTCCCAAATCAGTCCTCAATAAGTTTTAATTATCTACATGGTCCTATATAGTTGAGATTTATTCCCAAGATAGTCCTTCGTAAATAATGTTACTCAAATGAGGATTAATTGATGGTATTTGGGTATTTTTTTATTCGCTAAATTTAGAATTAATTCTTAAAATCATTATTTATAATGAAGTGCTTTCCCAAAATGGTTTTTCTAATTAAATATGTGTATTTGATTTGAAATTTAAAAGATTTTCTAAGTTTTAAATAATTCATGAATTATTTATAGTCAATTTATTTTTTAAATTTAGTTGTACAGAAATGACAATTTTGAAAATATACTTCAAATTTGGATGATCAAAATACCAAAATATCTCTCAATTAATCATCATTTGAGTAACATTATTTACAAAGGACCATATTGAGAATAGATCTCAATTATAAAGGACCATTTAGGTAATTAAAACTTATTAAGGACTGAATTGAGAAAACACCTCATTATAAAGACTATTCTAAGAATTTACTCTAAATTTTAATGCTCTTTAGTTCAAATATTTCTTTCTTTTTTTTTTCTCACATAGCTGCAACTTTAGTGGGATTGACAATGCCACAAACGTCCCTGATTTCGAGCGGGACGCCGGCGGAGGGACGGAGGTTGCCGATCTTAACCATGGCGGCGGCGAAGTCAGAGAGGAACGCCCCGGTGGCGTCCCTGTATCTCCGCACGGCGGCGCCGGTCGTCGTCCCGTTCATCAACACCTGGTCCGAGAAGAGGAGGCCTTGTCCCCTGGCCACGTCCTCGAAATAGCGTTTGTCCATTACTGCTGGCGTGGGGTCCAGCCCGACCAGGCCCGTGCTCCCCCCGCCGGCCGCCAGGCAGTTGCACTGTAGCGCCGACGCCCTTGCGGCGTTAGTGTTGCCGCTGGTGCAGAGGACGGCGCAATTGGCGAACCCCACCGTGTGTGCTCCGGCCAACGCCACCATCTCCGTCTGGCTGAAACCTTTGGCGGCGAACTTCCGGGTTTGTGTCGCCAGGTCGTCGAACGGCGCCGGCAGCTGGTTGTTTGCTCCGGTGAGGTTGAACCTTCTCGCGTCTTTTCTTGTTCCCAAGTTCACCGTGTAGCTCTCACCTCCCAGCTGTATTATTCAACGAAACTCTTTTAGTAAAGTCATTCAATTAAAACTAACTTGTGTTTACAAAAAAGAGAAATGTTTGACTCAGAAACACAATATTCTTCAGAAACTTACTATTTGTGAACTTTAATAGAGAAATTAAATAATCTAAAATAAGTTTAAAATGATAATTTGAATTATAAATAATAAGTTTGTGAAGTTTGTGGCTATTCTATTTGTGAATTTATCATTGCTCTTACAAAAAAAGTTAAAAACTGACCACAATAATTAATACTTTCTCATGTGTTTGAAATTTTTTTATGTTTTGGCGCTCAAAACATAAAAATAAAGGAAGAGACTCTGGGTCAAGCGTTAGATTCAAAATAACACGATTGTCCACTTGAGAGGTAGTGTTAGAGTGTTAATACCCAATCCAGTTATCATTTATCCATCCTAAATTTTATCATGTTTTGTAGAACTTTTAATACTCCCTCCGTCCCAAAAAGATTTACACCTTTCAAAAAAATTGTGTCGCACAATCTCCTACCCATTTCTATTAAAAAACCACTTTTATCCCTTACTTTTTCAAACCCTACCTATCACATCATACCTTTTTTCTAATAATCTACACATCACATCCTACTTTTACCCATCACATCAAGGGTATTTTTGGAAAGTGAACACAAAATTATCTCTTCTTTAATTTCTACTTTAGTCAAAATGGGTAACACTTTATGGGATGGAGGGAGTATAACTTAGTTTTTAAATATGAAATTTTTATTTTTTGTTTCAATGTCAATCTTTAAAAAAATTAATTGAAAGAACTCAAAAAATTACTCCATTTATCGTAATGTTACAATCTTTTTAGGACGGATGGAATATTATATTTCAATATACTCCATACTTTTTTCACAATTTGTAGTCTAAGATTGTCAATGTTTTTTAATAAAAGAAAGTCAAAGTAGGAAAAGTTTTGGAGGGAGTATTTCAAAGCCTCAATCAACAAGTTTTTTAACAATGTGAAGATATCTTTAGAACGGGACGACGATTATGCACTTACTTTGACAACGGAGTCACGAGCAGCAATGGCAAGGATGTCAGCGCAAGACACGGGCGTGTTGGAGCATTTGGTTTTGGCGTTTTTCTTAGCTCTCTCGATCACTTCAAACCCCCTAACCGAGTTTGCATTGGCCGGCGCACTTTGCTCTCCGTTAGTGGCATTCAAAAGGATCCCTCCGTCGCAACCCTGCACCCACCAATACATGCTAAATCACAAATGAAAAAATATAGAAATAAAGACTAACTCAAACAAAAGCTCAAGTTTGTTATTGTTGATTCAAGAAAGATTTCCAGTTTACGCATAAGGGTGTGCAAAGTGGTCAGCCGCACATGACTTTTAAAATTTTAGGGCCTCATATTTTTAAATTCATCATTAATTTTGAAGCATAAGTATTCTAAAATAATAAACAGGCCAGGGCCCAAAATGTAAATTTTGGACTCGGCCAATTTCATTTTTTCATTTTTTGAGGCGGATCCTAAGTTTACGTACGTCGACGAAACAATCATGGAAGAAGAGACGAATGAGAGAAGCGCCCATGCGGGTCTCTTTCTTAATGGCGTCTTCAACGACTTCTTTAACGGCGGAGAAAACACATGCTTGGTCGGAAAGGTGGCCGGAGAAGCCGAGAGTCTCCAAAATGCCGGCTGACTCGAACGTTTCAGACAGCCATGTGGGGATGACGTGGTTGAGCTGACCACCGTTCACGGCGGAGTATGTGTTCTGGTAGACGGAGTAGCCGGCGAGGGAAAGAGCGACGAAGCTCAGGGAGAGGGTAAGCCTTGCTGCAAAAGAAGCGGTCATTATAATATATAAAAAAAGATGGCCGGCCGGGGAGAAGTGGTGGCGGCGGCCTAAGGATGAGAAGGGCTTCCATGGGCCGTGGTTAAATAGATATAGGGTGTGTTTGGTGGGGCAAATATTTTCCATTCCCTTTGTTTTAAAATACTCCCTCCGTCCACCTAAGATCTTCGCATTACGCGTTACGAAGCTTGACCAACTTTATTTTTAATTCAATTAAATTGATTATAGGAGTAAAATTTTAAAATAAAATTTATATAGTATTAAACTACATGAAAAGTTCTACAAAACTAGATGTGACAATACTATATTATTTTACGAAATGACTAGTAAAAATAAGCAAACAAAGTGAGTGAAGTTTGATCCTGTAAATAGTGTCTGGAAAGATCTATGGTGGACAGAGGGAGTACATTTTTAATTTCCTATTTCATTTTGGATTTTTAATCAAAATAAACTTTATATTCCCTTTGAAAAATAGATGGAATTGTCACATTAATTCTTTGTTATTTACATACATGTCAATATGTCAACCAAACATTTTTTTCTTTTTTTAATTTATGTGAGTCAAATCGAAAACTAAAAATAGAAATAAAGTTTTCGACGGGTGGAGTAAAATTTTGACTTTTCATACAATTTAAAAATGTTGTTGAAAATTTTAAAATTTATAGTTGAAAATTTGCATTCCCTCTGCGAGAATCATTTGTTTGTTTTCATTTAAAATGCTTGACTTAAGCTACATAAAAGATAATGTAAAAATGTAAAATTAAAAACTAAAATTTATATAAAATTAAATACAAAAGAAATGATAATTTAACTATATTATTCTTCAAATGATCACTAAAAATGTGTAAAAGGATATATACTAGGTACACATGTTTTTTTCTTTTGCTTTAGAAGAATATAATGAAACCCACTTGATGCAATCAAAGGAAAAATGAAACCCACTTGGTGACACACCAAAATAGACCACAAATCTTAGATTGAAGATTTTTCCAAAAGTGAGTACGTGGGATAACCTACCCATAGAATAAAAAAACTCCCACTTTGAAAAGTAAAAGTTGGACACTTGAGTCACAATGAATGAATGAAATCATAGAATTACATTACAGAGGAATTTACGTAAATACACACTAAAACATACGGAGTAATAACTTTCTTTAAATTGTATCACATGTGTTTTTTTCTAATGTAACACTTTTAGTCATTATTCATTAGTCATTATTAAAGTAAATGTAAGTCATCACTAGACATTATAGACATTATTAAGTGCTATTTAGAAAATAAAACAATTTAAGAGCTATTCAGAGAAATGACTTAAGTTTTAGTGCTATTTAATGCAAATGTTTCTTACATTATCTGTGTAAAGAACAGTTATCTAGACAAAAATAAATTTTCTTTATATGTTAGAGTCGTTGGATTTTAATCCACTAGAAAATAACAATAACACTAATCGTATTCATATATTTTAACTCTCAATATTCAATTGAGCTTCAATTCGTTCTTCATTTTAGTAAAAGTGTATTTATAGATAGAATTGAGGGGATGATCGTGGGTTAATTAACTAAGGTCTTGTTTTAGGTTGAAATTTCAAAAATTAGATATTGGAAGAAATTGAATTGAGTTGGAAGAAACTCGAAGAAATTAAAAAATATTAGAAGAATTAAAATACTAATCATTAAAAGTCATTCAATTAAATGATCATCCAAATAAACATGTGAGATTATCTTTTTGTTTGAGGTGATATTTTATAAATTTAGATATATAATGCTGTTATATATTTATCATATATAAATAATTTTTTAAGTTGTTATTGGAAGAAACTAGAAGAAATTGGAAAAAACTAATAGACGTTAATTTTTCCCAACCAAAATAACATGGCCCGCATAGTGGAGAAATGACTCAATTAAGAGTAATTGACAAATTCTCTCGCCGGCCGCCTCTATCCTCTCGTGTCAACTATCGATCAACCATCTATAATACACAGTAGTTCATATATAGACTTAGAGGATGCTTGAGAATGTTCAATTTTTAGAAAAAGTGATTAGTTTAACAGTATAATCTAAAAGTATTTCAAAGTAATTTTTTAGCTTTTGTTTTTTCATCTCTAAAAAGATAAAAAATCACACCATTGCAAACTGATTATATTCAAATCAAAAGTTGAAATATCTTTGTAGAAGCACTAACAAACGCCCTCTTACTATTATAGTGGCCGATGGGCCCTCCAACCCACTCATGCATCCACGATCGTATCTCACTTATATTGGGATATTTGACGGATTTTTTACCAGACTCAATATACATTTAGTGTGATTACACCTGAGATATGTGCAAAAACTCATGATACACGTGATTATCTTTAATTGTTGTTGTCATGAGTCAAATATTAATCGTTCTTTATTGTCATTGTCATGAGTCTAACTTGGATATTACGACGTACTATCTTTTACACTTCTTACTGATCAATTACGTAAGGTTCCCGTCCAAAGAATACCACAAATGTATCGTTCACAAAGTCTCTGAAATAGATAAATTAGAATTAGGATTGATATTTCAAAAAAAAAAGATATTAGGATTGAGGAAGAGGGAGATAGTGAGTGAACTTTGGGTGTGAGTATAACGGATAAGGATTTGGGCTAATAATAAACGGATATTTATGATCAGTTGCTGTACTGCGAGCCCAATATTATGTGCGTCTGGACCCAGCAAAGTATACCTGCAGCCCAGTAAATATTGAGCATTTATTACCATGATGGCCCATTCTAAAAACACACTGGCCCGTTTAGATTTAGGAGTCATTTATTTCTTATACAAAAAGAATAATTTTTTTTGACAATTCTATCAACTCTCATTTTATAATAAATCTCCGATGACTGTTTGAGTCAAACTTCATCAAATTTAAAGGTTAGTCATTTATAGATCATATGAGAAAAACTTTCAATTATGGATTAAGGAAAATTTACTTTGTATGAAGTTTTTTTTGAAAGGATGTATATATGGAGTATATTCGTAAACAATGCAATGTATAAAAAATTCACAGTCAAATATCATCCATTTTGACTGAGAAAACTTCCATCAATTTTTTTAGGGTAAGCTTCACAATTAATTTGGAACGAATGGAGTACACATTACCTTTGTGATCAACACCGTATTAAGGCTCTTTCGAAAATAACTTCAAAATTTGTGTTGAGTTTTGAATAAACTTTAATACCGAAAAATAATGTTTAAAATTTCAAAAAAAAAAAATATCCTATAAAATTTTTGAGTTCACAATTCAAAGTTTATAACTAAAATCTAAATTTAATTAACGTCAAGCATTTTTTAACGTAACCGGGTAAAGAAATTAGAGAGATTTTTAGATGATATAAAATTATAAAAATAATTAATAATAATTGTAGTTATATATGAAAAATGTTACTCTCTCCGTCCCATAAAGATAGGAACGGTTTGACTAAAGTGGTAAAATAAGGAGGGATAATTTTGTGTGACGAGTAAAAGTAGGATGTGATGAGTAAAAGTAGGATGTGATGTATAGATTATTAGGAAAAAGGTATGATGTGATAGTAGAGTATGAAAAAGTAAGGGGTAAAAATGGTTTTTTAATATAAATGAGAAGAACTTTTAGGGACACAATTTTTTTGAAACATGAAGGATTTTATGGGACGGAGGGGCTATATACCCTTAGAACTATTTGTGAAATTTTACTTTTACGAAGTGTCTATTTGTTTTAAAAAAATTAATTATTTTGAGTATTAAAAAAATGAGAAAGTGTTAATGATAGAATTTAAGATGAGAGTAGGGATAACTAGACTGGACAATAAGATACTTGGGTTGAACCACATTAAAAGATTGAATCCAATCGATATGGATAGACTCTAACTAACAATAACTTATTTATTACTCCGTATTATCCTTCAAAATTTCTGCTGAGTTTAACTAGCACTGCTTGCTAATTAAGGCAAATGGACTAATGGCTTAAATGGCTTTTATGGTTGTCTTTTATGCTAATGATTTTGTGAGTTGTTATCATACTCTTAATGATTTAGTGAAATGTTATCATACAATTAATGGCTTTGTGAGTTGTTATTTTCCTAAATGAAGTTGAAACCATATAATATAATACAAAAATCCAAATACAAAAAAAGAAAAAAAAACAAGTGTATAAAACAATATGGGTGACTAACCATGCATGTTCTAGTGACTCATACTGTCATATATAGACGTTTCTTGCCTAAATCCGGTGGAACAACCTAAGGTCCTACTATCTTAGGTGATAAGTGATTGATGTTTATTTATTTATTGAATATGAAAAATACTCCCATAACATTTTATTATAATTTTAAAAGATGAGGTATGCTTCTGTAACAAACGAAAGATGAGATGTCTTTTTGTCACAACATCCAAAGTTGAGATACCTTCCGCAGAAAAAAAGGCTTAAAATGCAACAAAACTTTAAAAAAAATTGAAAGTACTTTTAAACAAAAAAGATAACAATTTAAAAATAATAACTAAATATAGAAAAATACTTATGATTATATTTTAAAACTAAAGCAAACGAATGATACCATAATAATATTTTAAATGTTTGTTAATACATTCATCTACAAAAATAAAACTCAAATTTTGAAGTATAATTTAGACATTATGAAACTAAAACCAGATTTTCGAAATAAATTTATCATTTAATGGTGAAATATAAAAAGACTATTATTTTTATAACATATTAATAAATATGTGTAGTTTGAGATTTTAGGTATGGGAAGTGACCTCATATTGTTCCCAAATATCGGACTGACTATTCGGTTCAGTAGAATCTGATTCTTTTGTGAAGTTTTATCCGTTCAATTTTTTTACTTTCTCAAAAAAAATTAAAATGATTCGTACTTGCTCAGCCTTAGACGTGGAAATTGTATATTTATAATATATAGACAAGCTATTACGTTTCACTTTTTTCTTAATGAAAAAGTGGGTGGTGGATTCTTTGATTGGGGTCCTCTTGCCCTTATCCTACACTAACACATTAACCTACACTAACACCTACTTCATTGTTCTAAGGTCATGTGTTATGGAGCGTAAAGGCTTGACAACCCTCACTCCCCCCATCCATTACATACACAGTGTGAAGGGGCGTTGCCCCAATTCAAGTACCCACCACTAGGGGTGTAAACGAATCGAATCGAAGCGAATACCGATATATTTGAATTTGTATTTGTTTAGTTTTTTCGAATATGAATCCGAATTCGAATAAGAGACGAATTCAAAATAAGATTTGAATAAATATTTGATTAATATTCGAATAGTTATCGAATCATAAACGAATATTTGAATAATCATACTATGTAATTTATATGATGGACCAACATCAATTTGTAATTTAACTTACGATACTCTTTATACTATACTATATTCCCTATATAAAAACATTAATACATTTGCATCTTACACAAATTATATTTTATAAAATATAACTATTAAAAATCATATGCTTTAGATTTTTGTGTTACGTTAATTTATTGAATTCTTAGTATTTTAAATACACTTGATACTGCTCCGTATATTACTTTGCTTGACTTTTGATGTTGAAAACATGGTCTGTGTATATATGCATATATTCGAATATTCGAATATCATCCGAATCGAATATATCCCTATTTGTATTTCTATTTGATTAATATTCGAATCAAAAATAATATTTGAATTTGAATTTGTATTTGAATAACGCGAATTCAAATCATCATATTCAAATACGAATCGCGAATCGAATTTAAAATATTTGATTTGTTTACATCCCTACCCACCACCATCTGGTTGTGATGGCTTTCTCCCCCCATTTTTTTAATATTTCAATCAATCAAAGTTTAACACATATTCACACCTCATCACTTAACTTCACATCCACCATATCACACATATTTTTAGAAGTGAGCATGATACGGTATGGTACGGTATTTAATTTGTACTGATACCGTATCAAATATTTCAGTTCAATGAGATTTCACATCGTACCGATCCAGATCCTGGAATTTCAGTTTCGTATGGTTTGGTATGGGTGTCGATACAAATTAGGATTAATACATGCACACACAATTTAAACTTTAAAAAGTCACAAAACCTTTTAAACAAGTCGAAAGGATTAGCTCTACTTACTTCAACAAGTTAAACACATTTTTATGAAAAATACATACTACATTATAATAGAGTCATTAATAAACTTAATACTAAAAAAGTTTGTAGTTCTCTATTTTCTTTTAAGACTTTTCATTTGAAAAAAGCTAGTTGTGGAACAAAGGAAAATATATACTACGTAGTAGTCATTTAGGAGCAATCTAAATTGAAAATGGAAAAAAATCATTATGAATATTTGATTAGACTTATGGTAAATGTTGGGCATCGTGTTGGAGTGGCTTGGGCCAAATGGCGGTTTGCTTCAGGGGTGTTGTGATCCGAAGATTTCGCCCAAGATGAAAGGTAAGTTCTACCGGTCCGTAGTCAGACCTGCTATGTTACATGGGGCAGAGTGTTGGGCAGTTAAGATGACTCGTGTGCGTCGTCTGCATGCGGCGGAGATGCGGACGTTACGATGGATGTGTGGGAAGACAAAGTTGGATAGGATTTCGAACGAAGTTATCCGACGTCAGGTAGTCATGGCGCCGGTGGAAGATAAGCTGCGGGAAGCGAGGTTGAGATGGTTTGGTCATGTGAGACGGCGGAATTCTGACGCCCCTGTACGGAGATGCGAGAGGATTACGGTCGTCAGGGGAAGTAGGGGAAGGGGTAGACCTAGGAAGAATTGGAAGGAGGTAATTAGGCAGGATTTAAGACTTCTCACCCTGACTGAGGATATGACTTTAGATAGGAACCTTTGGAGAACTAGGATTAGAATAGCTGGTTAGGGGCCTGGTGCCTCAGAGGTTTTTTGTAGTGTGTTTTGTTTGGTTGGAATCCTTTGCTTTTGCTTGCAGGACTTTCATTCAATTGTACTTGGTGTTTTATCTGTGTTCTATTGTGCCCTATCATATTTTTTGTGCAGGTTAGAGCCGGGGGTCACTTGGAAACAGCCTCCCTACTTCCGAGTAGAGACAAGGTCTGCGTACACACACCCTCCCCAAACCCTATTGTAGTGGGATTCAACTGGATTGTTGTTGTTGATTAGACTTATGGTAAAGATATATAAACTCATCACCTTATTTTTTATTTTTGGTAGCATTTTCCTTTTAAAATATACGCCGTATAGTGCACTGATATAATAAAAGAATTGAGTCATTTAAAAAAAAGAAAAGATTTTTTGGTCAACCCATGAAAATTATGAGTCTGTTCTTATTTTACATGTAGATCTTAAGAACACAGAAGAACAACTTGTAGTTGTGTATGTGTATACCACATTCCCAAATTTAATTTTTGATAAATTATTACATGCACCAAAATATATGCTAAATAAGTATTTTAGAGTATTGAAATAAGAATTTTTAAAATCTAAAAAAATGTGAGAATGTTCATGTGAACTTAGGTCCATCATGGAATTACTCTTAATTTATGAGTTTGATTGTTCAATTATTGGTAACCTTTTTCTAAATAAATAAGTAGACACTGTATATATTTATACTCCGTATAAGGAAACTTCAAAGCTTTGGACCGTGTTGGACGGCATAATAACTCTATCTATGGAGTAATAAGAAGAAGATGTCGGGTGACGGTTCGGAATTTGGTCTGGATGGAATGTGCGCGGCGGGTTTGGAAGTAACCACGTTTCTTCTCTTTCCTTCCCATAGAAATTCCCTCTTTTCGTCCCCACCCAAACACTCCCCACAACTTTCGGTCCCTCTCCGAAGAAAAAACAGAGGACCAAAAGGATCGGGAATGAGAGGCGCCGGCAACGGCAAGCGCCGTTGCTACCCACTCCTATTTCTCCGATATATCCTAATAATAATAATAACCCATAATTTTGCCGCCTCTCTCGCCGTCGACACCATCACTCCGGCGAAACCGCTCTCCGGCAACCAGACCTTGGTCTCTTCCGATGGGATTTTTGAACTGGGATTCTTCACCCCCGGCGGCTCCGGTAAATTCTACGTGGGGATATGGTACAAACAGATTAGGGACAAGACCGTCGTCTGGGTCGCTAACAGAGATGCTCCCCTACCCGGCTCCGACGGGATCTTGAAAATCGGGGAAGACGGCAACTTGTACCTCCTTGCTGAGAACGGCGGGAATTCGACGTGGTCATCGTCGAGTCAACCGGCGGCGGAGAAGAAGAAGACTGTCGCGCAGCTTCTGGATTCCGGAAACCTGGTTCTCCGGCAAGAAAACGACGGGGAGTATCTGTGGCAGAGCTTTGACTACCCGACGGACACGATGCTTCCGGGTATGAAACTGGGATGGGATTCGAAATCCGGGTTGACCCGATACATAACTTCATGGAAGAGCTCGGACGACCCGTCGGAGGGGAGCTTCACATTCAAATTAGACACCGGCGATCTGCCGGAGTGTTTCTTGAGAGACGGGGACAAAGTCGTCTACCGGAGTGGGCCGTGGAATGGGCTGAGATTCAGCGGAGTTCCGGAAATGAAGCCCACCAAAATCATAACCTTTTCATTCTCCTTGACGAACGAATCCAATTTCTACACATTTGAGCTCCACAATAAATTTCTTTACTCGAGATTAATGGTGAGCTCCGCTGGATTGCTGGAGCGGTACACGTGGGTCCCGACGAGCAAAATCTGGAGCAGATTCTGGTACGCGCCGAGGGACCAGTGCGACGGGTACAGAGGGTGCGGCGCGTTTGGGTACTGCGACACCAACATGTCGCCGGTGTGCCGATGCCCGCCGGGATTCCGGCCGAGAAACCAGCAGGCGTGGGACCTGCGCGACGGCTCCGCCGGTTGTATCAGGAAAGACGAGCTGGATTGCGGGCGGGACGGGTTTATAGAGATGAAGTATATGAAGTTGCCGGACACGTCGGATTGCTTCGTGGACAAGAGGATGGATTTGAAGGCGTGCAAGGAGATGTGCCGGAGGAATTGCTCTTGCACGGCTTTTACGAACTCCAATGTGTCTAATGGCGGCTCCGGGTGTGTCATTTGGACGGCGGAGCTTTTTGATATGCGGCGGTACGCGGCGGTGGAGGGAGGCCAGGTGCTCTACATCCGCGTCGCTGTTTCCGATGTGGGTACGCTTTCCTTTCCTTAATATTTAGCACAAAGTTACAACTTGCAATGCCATTTTTTTCATATATTTAAACCATAAAATCACTTATCATTCTTGTTTTATACCAAGTAAAAAAATTATATGAAGTAAAAGTATATAAATAAATCATTTTAGTAAATATGAATTAAATTATATTTACTTTTCTGGGATAAAACAATTATGTCACTTCTTATTTGTAGGATTTTTCAGATAAAAAATAAGTTGTTCGTAATTTTAAACCTTGCAATTTAAAAAATTCTAAGTTTAGATTTTTTTATTTCTTTCCGGGTTTAGATTTTAAAGCAATAATCACATTTTTTAAAATGGAGCATGATCTTTTTGTTCATTGCACTAAGATCCACAAATCAAAACGCATGACAAATCACAACGCAAGACACTCAAGCAAACATGTTTATGGACTAAGACCTCAAGCACAACTTGCAGAATTTTAAAATAAGGGAGTACATTTTTAATATATGTAGACATATTGTTTTAGATACTCATATGCTTCATTATAAAATTGAGTAAAAAAAGAACGACTATATATACTTAATACACACTAAGGGCCTATTTGATAAGTTTAGATGACTCACACGATCCCAATTCTAAAAATTCAAACTAAATAAGATAGATTCTCAAATCTAAAATGAAAGCATGTTAGAGCTATTTAGAATGATGATTATTAGTGACATGCCACAGGTGGCCGACAACATGTTCGTCAAGTTGTGGGAAATATGAAACCTATTTATCCAAATCTTTTAAATTTAGAAGTGGTGTTTGGAGGATCTCAAGCATTGCACACCAAGTGCATACAAAGGTAAATACAGACATGCGATCACTTAATGTCTTGTCTGGGCATATTCGAACAATAGATGTACGTGCATGTCGATATTTGCCTTAGTGTACACTTGATGTGCAATACTTGAAATCACTCAAGTATTTTCATAAGTTCAGAAGATATCAAAACCCACTCATTCGGGACATGAGAAGATTGTGATATTTGGAGAGCAAATGTATCAAATCCGAACCTTTTTAAAACTTTACGAGCAGAGGTATCAAATTCAAATCCTTTTTAAACTTTATGAACTTTTTTTGAACTTTATGAAACACCGTAAAAATAGTTACTCATATGATATAAAGAAATATTAAAATTTATATCTTGTTACAAGACACCCTAAAGATTTTACACCAAAGAGGAAATATAATAGACAAGTTTTGTTTCTGAAATTTTACAGGCGAATTTTGCCTGTAAATTCTTTCTTTGATTTGCACGAACAATGATCCAAAAGAAAATACAATAGCAACATTAATAGAGAAAAAACCCTAACACTTAAATTTTGCATAAAAATGCCCTCTCTAGTTGAGTATTTGATTAACGTTTAGGCAAAAAATGTTGTACTCCGTATATCACTAGAATTAGCAAACAATGTCGAATTCAGGTTCAGGTAGGCCCGAATGCATGTTCTCACAAACAGAGGGGAATTTAACACTCAAATTTTTAATAAAAAAAAGTACTCAGTTTGTCCCAAATTTAACTACTTATTAATTATTCATGATTAAATTTTATTCATTTTTTAAACTTATTTTTGTTACGATAAAATATAGTCACGTTACTTTTTATTTTGTAAAACTTCTAATGTTATATATGAATCAAATACAGCAATATTATATTTTAATTTTTAATTAATTTCAAAATCTATTTAAAAATATCATAAATGATATACATATGCACAATTTTTGAAAAAAAATAAATCTAATTGTGCAATGACATTAGAAACTTGTATAAATAAATTTATGCACTACAAAAAGTAATAGAAAAAATTAGTATAAGAGTATTCTTTATCACATTTATTTCATACTCCCTAAAAACTACACGGTATCACTTTATTAAATCTTATCTTAGCAGGTTAGATTCATGCTAGGTCAAGTTTGACCCATTTTTAGCGAGTCATTTTGGATTCAATGAACACAATTTTTATTCAAAAAAAATCAAATATTTTAGCATTAGAACGCAGATCAAATGAACCTTTTTCAAATTTTGACAATTCTGTCTATCATAGCATGATCCTTCTAATAGGATGTCCATTGTTCTAAGAACCATTTTAGTCTACACCAAAGTGTAACACTCAAAATTGAATTCGCACATAATAATAAAATTGCATTCCTCCTAAGTACTTCCATGAGACATTAGTCCACTTTTTTCTTTTCAAAGTCACCCACCAAAAAAGTTGAGCTGACTTTTGGTGGCTTTCATCAATTGGAAGTAATTAAGGCATATTAGGAATACTCCGCACATGTCGTACTCATAATTGCCCACCCACCACCTTTGGTTAAACATTTCTTATGTTGTACTCAGTTTGACTGAGCACATAAAAAACACATACTACGTATGAAACACATAAAACAAATAGAAAAGAATAACAAATACGACTGCTAGAAGTGTATAGCGGAGGAAATCGGAAAGAAACAAGAAAAGGGTACACTATTTAAGCACGTGTTGATCCCCACTGGGTGGTTGACCTGCCCGTTTACCATTTACCAAGTTCAGACCGGCTAACACTTCTCAAAAGTTGAAAAATAAAATTGAAAAAGAAAATGGAATTGTATACTACGTAGTATTTGTAAAACCTTTTTAGAGAAGGGAAACAGTGACAATTCTGAGCTTCTCAACAAAATCTTAGTGCTTATAGTACATGCCCACTAACTAAGAGATAATGCCCACTATCATACCAGCCTATATATGTTCACTTTAGCCACAAACAATGCTCACTAGGGGTCACATGATGCGATCGCCCGATTTACGTGGGACCTATTGGCAAGTTACTCACGCATTTGTTTTCTCTTGATTCTAAATATCAGAACGAGGTGGAGGAGATGACGGATCTAGAGATGCTTCTAAGAAGACACTGCCAGTAATCTTAGCTTGTGGCGTCACGGTTGGTGTTGGTCTTGTTCTGCTTGCAGTCATGCTGACATTATTATTCCTCTCGAGAAGAAAGCAATCGCGCAGGGTCACAATGAGAACCGCAGACATGAGAAGTACAATACGAATGCACATTCTGTCTTCTCATTGTTCCATTCAGTAGTAGTTACAGTGTTACACAACACAATATTGCCCACGTGCTCACATCTGTGTGTGACAATTGCAGGTTCACGCGACAGAAGTCAAGATCTTCTAACAAATGCAGCCGCGATCCCAGGGGTACGAGAATTTTCTGGCGAAGCTATGACAGCAGAAGACTTTGATTTACCGCTGTTTGATTTTAGCGCCATTGTCATGGCCACCAACAACTTTGCAGATGCAAACAAGCTAGGCCAAGGCGGTTTTGGATGCGTGTACAAGGTAATAAAGCGGTTATTCATATTCTACCAGACGGGGGTTTTTTTCCGAACTAAAAGATTGATAAGATTATTAGTATTGATCAGGGAATGGTGATTGAAGGTCAAGAAATAGCAGTGAAGAGACTGTCGAAGAATTCTGGGCAAGGGGTGGAAGAATTTATGAATGAGCTTAGATTGATTGCGAAGCTTCAGCACAGAAACCTTGTCCGGCTACTTGGATGTTGTGTTGATATGGAAGAGAAAATCCTAATATATGAATACATGGAGAACAAGAGTCTAGATTCAACTTTATTCAGTAAGCCCACCCTTCCCTTTTGAATGATCACAACAATGTGAGCAAGTAATTACACACACACACACACACTGCATTATATTCCCAGATTTTATCGATACCTAATGTGTGTGTGCACAGACAAGCAAAAAAGTTCACTGCTCAACTGGCAGACACGGTTTAACATCATTTGTGGAATTGCTCGGGGGCTTTTATATCTTCACCAAGATTCGAGATTCAGAATAATCCATAGAGATCTCAAGGCCAGCAACATTCTCTTGGATAAAGAAATGAAACCAAAAATATCAGATTTTGGGATGGCAAGAATTTTCGGGGGAGATGAGACCGAAGCAAATAATACAAAGAGAGTAGTGGGAACATAGTAAGAAAATCAAATCAGATGCTTTAACTGCTTTTTTCTGTAACCAACTTCCATTATTATTGTTCCTTGACATGTTATTCTTCAAGCACAGTGGTTATATGTCGCCTGAATATGCAATGGATGGGTTGTTCTCAGTGAAATCCGATGTTTTTAGCTTTGGAGTTCTAGTGTTAGAAATTGTGACGGGGAAGAAGAACCGAGGATTTTACAACCAAAACAACCAGCAAAACCTTCTCGGGCATGTAAGTATTACCAACTGAGCTATGAAAACATTCATACACAACTCCAACAAGTAGCCGGGGTTAAATCATTCACTATGAGAGCACACTTGTCACAAATCTACCGGTCGGTGGTGTTACTAAGTCAATACCATTTCGGATAAAAATAAAAATTCAAAGTCTTGTGTTTGGGAAAATACCTTGGAACTATAACTGGAGTGTTAGTTGAATGCAGGCTTGGACGTTGTGGAGAGAAGGGAGATGGCCAGAGTTGCTGGATTCGACCATAGGAGAAATGTATTCCCACTGTGAAGCGATGAGATGCATTCAAGTTGGGTTGTTGTGTGTGCAAGAGGGGGCAGAAGACAGACCCAATATGGCAACTGTGGTGTTGATGCTGAGCAGTGAGAGCGCGACGCTTCCCCAGCCTAAAAACCCTGGGTTTTGTCTGGGAAGAAGACCTGATGATATGGATTCATGTACCAGTAACAATTATGATGAAAGTTGCACCGTAAATCAAGTCACTGTTACTATTCTAGATGGCCGCTAGCCACTTGATAAGAGGTAATAGTGTGCCTCGTATGAGCGCAGCTTTAGAACTTGCAGATCATTTTAGTCTATCACCATAGACCTCTTCCACCAAGGTTTTCAGAGGACAGGTGATCCGCGAATTTTGCGTGGAACCATTTTTTGACATTGGGCGTTATTGGTACAATTGTATAGTTCAAGTTCACAATTTATTTCATATTTACCTTCTCCAGTGTGAATGTACTATTGTGTAAGCTTATGACCAAGAGGTATTCTTGTTTTTTGAAAATTTTTGCAGCTTTTGTTTTGTTTTTTCTTCCTTGATAGATTGGTATAAATGCAAATTTGAGTAATGAATCCATAAGGGAGACCCAAGAGGGAAGTTTGGATTTTTTTATTGCAAGGATTTTTTTTGAATTAAGTGAATGCTTAAAGCAAATAAATACAGTATTAGTGAACAAATAAATACGGAGTAGGGATTAGGGTAAGAGACGCACCTCAAGTTTGAGAGTTGAACAGGAGTCCAGTTTTTTTGTTGTTAAAATGAGTTCATCGCCAGGTGACAGCCCCAACAAAGATGGAATCCACCTACAAAACTCACAGCACATTGCCATTCATAGCACAGCAGTGATTGAGATTATTAAATTCATGCAACCTCTATGTATTATATAGTCAAGCCCTGTTGTGATTTTTCCTTACGCACAAACCAAGAAAATAATTCAGATCATGTAGAGTACTCTTAACCCAAAGAGTTAGCTCAAGTGGCAAAGGAGTTTTTTTGTGGTGAAGATACTAGGGATAACCCAAGTTCGGTATTCCTCTTGGACCAGCTCCCATGCCTCCCGGAGCAAACGGGGATCAGCCAAGTGGATCCAAACCATAAAATGGTAGGACAAAGACCCGGAACCTCGTGGTTTACACCAAGAAAAAAATAGAATACTCTTGATTTTGGGAATAATGTAATATGCCCTTATTTAGTGGTACCTCCCTATCTGCAACAGCCTCATTGACAAATGAGGCTCCGTCATTTATAAGGGCACTTTGTGGAGAAACAAATCATAAGCATTGAGAGGATAAAAATGGATATAGAGGACCATCCTACCATGCTTTATAAAGAGGATTGAACATACTGATAGTAATAACTTAAAAGACAACTAATTTAGCAAAGATAAAAACGAGTGCAAAGTGCGAACAACGTATCCTACTATGCTAATAGCTCAAGGAAATTGTTACTCTGTGTTGAAATTTATTGATGAAACACCACAATAGAAAGGATACATCACACTCAATAAGCAAACACTAAATTGTTTAAAAACAAAACATATGTTTGTAGAACCACATCAAAATAAAATTCAATCTAGAAATATAACCCGATAAATATTTCCTTTCAGAGTATCAAACTCATGTAGAAAAAGTTACAGAGGTAAATAAATTTACAAGGGCATAACAAACCAATAACAACCAAGGTGCATGAGCACTTGCATTCTAACTTTTACTTTGCCCAATAAAAGTACTCTAACAGTTTCACGTATTTGTATAACAAAAACTACATGGCAATACAGACAAAAAGAAACTCTAATATTTCAAAACTGCAGCAACTCACAATTTCCAGGGTTCATTGATTTCCAAATCCAATTGCAGCTGGACTACTTTTGCGTGTATTAATCTTTTCAGGGCTTGGCAACCCAGTCCTGTCCTCATATTTCTTTTCCAAAGCCTGTTGCATTCTAACTTTTACTTTGCCCAATAAAAGTACTCTAACAGTTTCACGTATTTGTATAACAAAAACTACATGGCAATACAGACAAAAAAGAAACTCTAATATTTCAAAACTGCAGCAACTCACTATTTCCAGGGTTCATGAATTTCCAAATCCAATTGCAGCTGGACTACTTTTGCGTGTATTAATCTTTTCAGGGCTTGGCAACCCAGTCCTGTCCTCATATTTCTTTTCCAAAGCCTGTTAGCACCAGAAACAATAATAAGAAATGTATTGTTAAAAACATTGATTTAGTTGCTATAGTTTTAACACTCAGTCTTATGTCAACGTCACATCCAAGTTTCAAGAATGACAAGAGAGAGTCTAAAGAAAAAGAAGAAGAAGAAGAAGAAGAAGAAGAAGATAATCCTATGATTTCTTCACCGACCTCTAAATCTTTCCGTATACTGTCTAGGACTTTATCAGACATTCGGTCAAAGAAAAGAATTCCCTGCATAATTATAAACAATATAAAGTCAAGGTTAGTCTAGGGAAATGTAAATAATGTATGGCCTGCAACAAATCAGAAGAACAATTAGGGAGGAGACTTCAATTCTTCAAAACAATGCATGTGAAAACAATCACGTCACATGTCTACAAACAAGCTAGTTGAGTACTGAAACAGGTTTTAAGGATTTCCTTGTGATGGAAAAGGGAAGGAGATCTGGTAGTGAAACTCAACGCATTCTGGAGATTTTTAAGAGTTTCCCTTCTCATGGTTGGAGAGTTTTCTTACAGCTCTCTTTCTCCATTAATTTGTTCTGACTTCTGAATTCTTCCCATTATATACTAAAATGATTAAATTTCTCTCAATCTATACAGAAATAAAAGAAAATTAAAAGAAAAGGACTTCGTATTGTCAACTATGATGCATTTCCCAATAAAATTAAATTTTCAGCTCGCATTTCAAATTTATTGGCCCACATGAATCGAAACAATGATATAGCAAACTTCAGGCAACTCTATAAAGAAGAAGCACCTGCAAATGATCATATTCATGCTGGAACACCCGGGCGGGAAACCTTGTGAATCGAACTGTGAAAGTTGCCCCATTAATATCCTGTGCATCTACCTTCACAGAATCCGGTCTCTGGAATTGAAATTAAGACAAACCTATTCTGTCAAAATTCACTATTCCAAAGAGCATAAAAGTGCGTTCAAAAATTTCAGGCATCTAGAAAGAATTCAGTTTACTGGCACAATCTTACTAACTAATTCCAAATACTAAAGGGAATAATTAAAGGTTTAGCATGTGGTAAGCTAAATCCATTTGCAGAGTTCAAATCCATCCCAACCTCTCTGATTCCTCTGAACCAACAAAAATAATTCCTAAATGTTCCTTAAGGCTAGAAGATTATATGCATTAAAACAATACATGTCATTGAAAGGTTGGTAGCAAATTAGCAATGTATCCACCAGCCAATTGGGAGCAACTGAGACATAAATTCGAACAAATACATATAATAAAAAGTACCCCTCATCTGGCATAATGTAACAATCAGCTAAACCCCGTACTTCTATACAGACCATACAAGGAGTCATATTGCATTGTCTTGACATAAAGCTAAACTCTATTTGGATGCAAAATAGCCAATTCCTAGAATGAAAGCTAACATGTGAGTTATTCTGTTTGAAACTACTATTCTTCCCAGAAAGAATGTTACAAAGAAGATGCAAAAATAGTTGATTATGGCCAAAAAGTTAGTTTCCAATGAGAGGAAGCACAAATTCATTGTCAACATAAGAATGCCTAGAAAATCACTACCACTCATAATCATAGTAATACCTCTACATCAGCATATATCTGAGGAAAAGACAAGCAACCTTCATTATATGGCAACACCTTTCGGGAATATCTGGTGACGCGTGGATTTACGAGGACAATCTCCTTTCCTTCACCCCGTACACCAACAGGATTGAATACCATAACCTGAACATTTATTCCAACTTGCGGTGCTGACAGTCCAACACCATCAGTTCTGCAGCAATGGAATGGGAGATATGAACCTTGAACTGTTAGCAAGTGGGAAATTACTGAAACAACCCAAAACCATAACATGCTCGCATAGATATTCATTAATTTAATTGCCAGTCCTTCTTCCTCCCCAGTGTAATTAAGAAGACCACAAAACTAACCTATACATTACATCGAACATTTCATCTGCTAGCTTCTTCAAATTTTCATCAAATGTTCCAATCATTTTGTTCTTCGCTCTAAGTACAGGATCTGGATATTCTACTATTTTCAGAGGTTCCTGAATATACAAATCATCCGCTGACAACAATTTTCCCAAAAAAAAACAAACAAATAAATTATTTAGTCAATAAAACTAAAGCTAGGAGTGAATTATTTCGAGAAAAAAGTGGAAGGTATCATTACGAGATGCAAATTCATCGCTGCTGAATTTAGAAGAAAATCCTCGCCGGGCTTGCGCGAGAACGGCGAGCCGGGGAGGTTTATTACGGCGTAAGGAATGACTGAGACGACAGCTAGTTGACGTGAACCGGTGGAAACGGCTGTAGCTACCGGGTTGCAGAGAAAACCGGCGAGCCACGAAGGACGAAAGCGTATATGGAGAAGAGTGAAGCAACGCCGCACCGGCCATCACAAAACGAAGACACAGAACGGGTGAAGAGGGATGCTACGCACAGACGCTCCCTCCTTCGCCTTTTGCTTTGGCCTGTCTCCAGCCAAATACTTGGCTAGAGTGGCTTCGGCTGGGTACCAACTAGACTAGGTGCGATGCATTAATTATATTTAGTCATGAAATAAGAACATGATACAAAAATTAAAGGACAATGTTAGGGATACACCAACATGAGGTATCTCAAGTGTACACCAAATCAACACAGACACACACAGACACTGTGTTGCACAGACACTTTGTGTCTGTGTGTGTCTGTGTTGGCTTGGTGTACACTTGGGGTACCCCATATTGGTGTACTCCTAGCTTAATTAAAAATTAAAAGATAACAAATAATATTTAAAATATTCAAAATAAGGTAGTGTACAGGAAGGACCGTAGTCGATATGCAGTATTATAAGTTTTGAAACACTTCTTTATAAACTACATTCGTAGTTTGGTTTATTAACGGAAGGTCTTTATTACAAATCAAGATCTTTTACCCTCACGACTTGTAACACGTGAAATTGTAACATAGAGTTGACTATGACTGAATACCGGTTTCTTTAGTCACAATCCAACATGGGACAAAGATTGGTCTTGACTTTTGTTAATTGTCACAGCGTATGAAGTCATGATTGAGAATTGTTTCCTTTGAAATCTAAAAGGATGAATTATTACAAATAATGATGCATTTAAATAAAACATATATTGAATAAATTCATGATAACTAATATTTTTGTGAAGTATATGTGAGATTTTTTACATTTTTCAAAACATATATTAGTAGAATTTGCTCCATCAAATATGCAAGAAGTTTAATGAAAGAGGAAGAAGTTGAAATTTATTTTTTCCGACATTTATTCGATTAGAATTAGAATTATTTTTTAACACCTTAAATTTTATGTTGTCTCTAAAATTATTAAATTTTATTGCATTTCAATCATAAATTCTTCATGGATACTTTTTAGTGTATTCAAACCCCAAAATTGACTACAACCCACCCAATTAAATCTTAAATTGAATCTCGATTCAAAAACTAAATATTCAAAATTGAATCTTATTTTAAACTAATCTACCAGCCCAATTATATAAACCCAGCCCACCACAACCTTCCAGCCCAACCCACTAATAAAACCTAATTATATTTTCTACCCTAACCGACCAAAACCCAGATCTCTCTCTCGCTCGCCCCTTTTCCGCCTTTCGCGTCTGCGCTCTCTCCCTCTTTGTCTTAATCCGATTCTCGCATGCCCTGACGTTTCCTTCACCACCCTCCCTCATATTTCCGGTGACAATACCTCGTGTTCTCTAGTATTCCCAAGGACGGAGAGAGAGAGAGATTATGAAGATGGTGGTAAATCCGAAGTTATCGCCAGCGAGTTCTTCAAATCGGAAGGTAGATTATCTATCACTCATCCATATCTGAATTTTTAATTTTTATGTACCCACTTATTTCTTTCTTTGTGATTTTATCTTAGATCTTTAGTTTTGAAACATGCTTTAGAGTTTTATGTCCTTTTATTAATTTATATGAAATATATATATATATATATATATATATATATATATATATATATATATATATATATATATATATATATATATATATATATATATATATAATGAAAGTATTTCCAAAACACATAGATCTACTGTAATCCATACATGCATATAATCACTCATAATTTTTTGTAAAAAAAAGTGTGAGATATGTTAAACAGAAATATCTTCAAGTGAATTATTGTTTATTAAAATTCCTTTCGAATAAGTCATGTGTTAAAAAAAAATTCTGTGTAAGAGTATCCATCTTTGCAAAATTACTACAAAATAAAGGAAGTAATTAAACCTTTTCTTAGATATAGTTGAACTTTTCTCCAAAAATCAATAAATAGTTTATTTATATTATTTTTTTGGGTGAATTTTTTAAATACATTTCTTTATTGGTTTAACACTCAAATAAATAATGTGTATAATATTTTTGTTTCAATGTATGAATCTGGTCAAAAATTTAACATGAATTTTTATATTAGAGAAATTGTATTCAAGATTATATTCTATTTTTTACTTTATAAATAGTAAATGAAAATATTATTCTCAATGTTTTGTATTCTAACCTCTTTCCGTGTGTGTTTTTTCTCCGTGACAACATCTTCACAATGCAGAATTTTGAAGATGAGGATTAGGGCTGTTCATGTTTAGGTGCAGACTGAAAGAACCGACCGAACCGGACCGATAGGTCCAGACCTAACCCGGACCGAATAAATTTCGGGTCGGTCTTCGGTCCAGCTTTTTAAAAATTTCGGGTTTCGGTCCGGTCTGGTCCAAACCCGATTGCCATTCGGTCCGGACCGAGAAGACCGAAATTATCCATTTACTCTGTACTTTTGTTTTTGACCAGACATTTCCGCAACAGGCCTGATTTACTCCCTTCCGTGTTTACTCCCTTTTCCTCTTGAGTTTGTAGATCTAATTTCATCTCTCTCTATATATTTATTTTTTTCCTTTTCCAAGATTAGTAGCCTCTTCCATCTCTCTCCGTCAATCCGTCATCTTCTTCCTACAATCTCCGGATTTAGTCACTGCGCAACCACATCAGTCTCCCACCATGGCGCCGGCTTCAGACGACAATAAGCAGAGCAGCGGGGCGCAACCACATCAGTCTCCCACCATTGCCTATCTCTTTAGTGTGCCGATGCCGGAAAATAATAGAGCAGCGGCAAACTATTGGGTGGATTATAGTCAATTAGTCATTCGGTAATCCCTTTTTGATATTCTTCCAAATTAATTTCACTTTTATTTAAAACTTATCCATCCCTCAATTTTTTTTATCCATATCTCAATTTTTAAATTGTAAAAATTTGTATACAAATCAAAATTGGACTCTGGATTGTGAAACGCAAGATATTACATCTGAAATTGAAACCTAAACTCTATGGAGCCTTTTCAGAAGCTTGGGTTCTGTCGGTCCTTTCGGTCTGAATAGGTTCGGTCCGTAATATTTCGGTCCGGTCCGGTCCAAGACCGAATACATTTAGGTCCGGTCTTCGGTCTGAGTTTTAGTGTAAATCGGTCTTCGGTTCGGTTCGGTCCGGTCCGGTTTTAGACCGATGAACACCCCTAATGAGGATATGCTGTGGAAGATATCAATTTGGTGTTGTATTTATTGTGTAAAAATTGGTTCTACCACATAGTCATTAATGACATTTGAGATACGGACTGATAAAAAAGAAAAAAAAAGATTTGTAAAATCTGGTTATTAAATGTTGATTTGAGATAAAGTAGATTACTTATTTTATGGTGTGTGGTTCCATGCCATGCACATTTACTCATACACATGGCATACACACTTGCCCATAAAACCCATTGAGTTATGTTGCCGCCCTACGCATGACATTTTTTTCACTGTTCAAGGGCTGTTGATGTCCTCACAATGTCCAAGGGTTTCAGATTGTGAAATTTGCACTAAATAAGACTAAAACATAATGACTTTCCTAATGTAGGACTTAAATTTTTTTATTCCCTAAATAAGACTTAATAATGACCTAGTGGGAAGAATAATGTCCAACAATGATGGATATTTAGTTGAATAATGACTATCTGATAATGACCAAATTAAAGGTCTTACATTGGGAAATAAAAATATATGGTCCTATATTGGAAAAGTCATTATGTATTAGTCCTATTTAAGTAAATATCTCTTTTAGAATTGACATTTTACAGAAAATTTAACCTTTAACAGGCCAGAAATCTCGGCCCATTACCTTGCAGTTTAAAGCCCACTAAATCGGTCCAATAAAAATAGGCGGGAATACTGTTCATAAATTTCACCTAGCATTATATACAGTAGGATATTTTGCACAAAATTATTTTGAGGTGAAAAATGTTAGATTTACAAATAAAATGGTCACAAAATTAATAAATTTATTATTTGTAAATTTTAATAAAAATAATTAATGGTCTAAAAAAATGTTAAAATAAAAATTTAAAACATAAATGATAAATTTGTAATCCTTGTGACAATTCTGTTTGTGAATGTAACATTGTTCTTTTGAGTAAGATGACATCTGGAAAAAAGTCTCATTTTAAGTAAAGAAAGTTTCATTTTACAACAGTGTTGGTGTTTAGCATGCAAAAAATGTTATCTTATACTCCGTAATAGTTATAATAATAGTATTAATAATAATAATAATAATATAAATATTAATAATAATATTAATAATAATAATACTAATTGTAATAATATTAATATTAATAAGAATAGTAATAATAATTATAACTATAATAATAACAATAATAATAATAATAGTAATAATAATACTAGATATAATAACAATAATGGTAATATTGATAATAAAAGCAATAATAATAATATAAATAATGATAATAATAATAATTAATAATAATAATAATAATAATAGAAATAAGAAAAGTAATAATAATAATAGTAATAATAATATTAGTAACAATGCTAATAATAATAGTCATAATAATAATAGTAACAATAATATAAATCGTAATAATAATAATAGTTGTAATAATTATAATAACAATAGTAATAATAATTATTGTCATTATGATAATAATAGTAATAGTAATAGTAATAATAGCAATAGTAATAATAATAATAGAAATAATAATAATAATAGTAATAGTAATAATAGTAAAAGTAATAATAAAAATAACAATAATAATAAATATAATAATAATAGTAATAATAATAGTAATAATAATAACATTAGTAATGATAATTATAATCATAATATTAATAGTAATAGTAATAGTAATAATAATACTAATAATAATGGTAATAATACTAATAGTAATAATAATAATTTTTTTAGATCTGATCTGATTTAATATGATCTTATCTGATTTTCATAAAAATAAGTAATAAGTAGAAAAAATAAATTGAACGAAGCACGGCCTAAGTAGCAGAAATACATTAGAAGAGAACAGTACCTAAGTTGTTCTTTTTTTGGAGTTGTTTAATTATTACTTCTATTCTTTTACTTTTTATTACTCGTATTTTTTTACCTTTGTTGAATACCCTTTAAATCCCTTCCCCATTGTGAATTGTGATGGTCTAAGAATTAATACTCCGTATATCAGACACTGCTTGTCATGGAAGCAAAGGGCAACTGCACATGTAGATGGAGTAACATGCAAATACGTAGTATGCAATAAGCAGTTCATTTCACATAATACCTCATACTCCCTCCGTCCCATAAAGTGTTACCTATTTTGACTAAAGTTGAAATTAAGAGAGAAATAATTTTGTATTGACTTTTCAAAAATACCCTTGATGTGATGGGTAAAAGTAGGATGTGATGGGCAGATTATTAGGAAAAAAGTACTCCGTATGATGTAATAGGTAGGGTTTGAAAAAGTAAGGGGTAAAAGTGGTTTTTTAATAGAAATGGGTAGGAGATTGTGGGACGCAATTTTTTTGAAACATGTAAATCTTTTTGGGACGGAGGGAGTATATGACTAGCAAAATCTTTAATATAATGCTTTGATTATTAATATTTTTATTTATATATACAACAACAACCCAGTTAAATCCGACAAGAGTAGAGTGTGGAGAGGGTGTGTGTACGCAGACCTTACCCCTAATCGAAAGTAGAGAGGCTGTTTCCAAAGAGACTCCCGGCTCAACGTCGAAAGTTGCATTGCTTGATTAACTGCAACTTCATTAATTAAAGAAGCGCAGACAATTTATAGATCCATTTTGATTTATTCCATCACACCCCAAAGCCAAAAAATGGTGAAATTTTGGCTTCATCGGAGATGATGGAAGTAAAATTATATTTCAAGATAAACTTATTGATACTAAACTAATCAACGACTTAATGTATTTTTTTCGTGACTTGTAATCAAAATTTTACTCCCTCCGTCCCAAAAAGATTTACACCTTTTAAAAAAATTACGTCCCACAATCTCCTACCCATTTCTATTAAAAAAATCACTTTTACCCTTTATTTTTTCAAACCCTACCTATCACATCATACATTTTTTCTAATAATATACACATCACATCTTTCTTTTACCCATCACATCAAGGGTATTTTTGGAAAGTCAACACAAAATTATCTCTCCCTTAATTTCAATTTTAGTCAAAATGTGTAAATCTTTTTGGCACGGAGGTAGTATAAAATTCACATTGCAAGTAAAGATGGGAAGAATGGTAAGGAATGGGGGGATAACCTCCTACTTCGTTGGGAGCTGTTTCATATACGCCATCGTACGTATATATACTTTTGATATCCCATTATCCCACAAACTCGATATATAACCTATTAAAAATGCCTAAGTATATGTAGATACCCTACTTCCCAAGGTAGTCAAACTCTAGATTCTACGTAGGATCGATAAGCATAATGAAGATCGTAACATCGTAAGATCGTGACTCGGATCGTAAGATCCTACTATATATATATATATATATATATATATATATATATATATATATATATATATATATATGTTTAATGTTTTAATTTGATTTTTATAAAACATAACACAAGGAGCAGAAGCAAAAGTAAGGGTCCCAAGTCGTGACAGAGGACTAGATGTCGCACAAGCAGAAAAAAAGCCCAGTTGCAATTAGAAGTATATTGGCAGTAGGAGTCTCGATTTCCAAATATATAGAAGAAGATAAGCTATTTACGCTGGTTTCCAATTGAAATTGGGAATAAATAAAAGAAGATGCGCTGGTTTCCGATTGAAATTGGGAGTCGCGACAGACGCGGCTTTCCAATTGCAATTCCCGACAACTTCAAATTGCGATTGGAAGAAGATTTTGAAGCGACACTGTTTGGGCTTCTCACGATCGGCGATTCTAGGCGATCCTGCGTTTTCACGAGCCTAATCGCCGATCCAGACGATCCTATTGGATTTCGCGATTCTGCATCCGTCTCGGATCGGGAAGCTTCCCGCGATCCTCAGACTCGTAGACTCGTACGAGTCAACTCGCGAGTTTGACTACCATGCTACTTCCTGTGCTCCCAATAGAATGGCATCCAAAAAGAATGAGCTATATCTTCCAGAATTCCTTCGGGTTTTGCCACACGGTTATAGAGAGAAATTAAATTAAACTTTGATTGCAAATTAGTGGCAGAGAGTACATAGAGCTTATACATGATATTTGCAAATAGCCTCTGGTTAGTTAGTGGGCATAGTTGCCTCGCGACCTAGTTGCAAAAAATCAAACTTGAGTCTATCCTTTTAGCACTCTCTACATTTGTCAACTGCGCAACGTCTACTGACAATGAAAAGACATCCAAACACTCATGGATATGTGAAGCGTGCCAAATTAAACGAAGACTCCAACAATGACTAGTGGGGCCGTCCAAAAATTTAGACACCCTATACATAAATACATAATCCTTCGTCCTAGATAAATACATAATCCATCGTCCTAGATTATTTTCCATCACATCAAGGGCAAAATTAGAATGTCAACTACAATTTAACACTTTCTTATTTTCTCCCAAAGTCAAAATAGAAACTCTTTTGAGAAACGGATGTAGTAGAATGTAAGGATCAATCAAATTATTAGCTCTTGTAGCTCAGTTGGTTAGAGCACTCGTTTAGTAAGCGGGATAAAGTATGTTGAAAATAACTGCATCAAACTTTGCGCTGATTTAGTTTTCAAATACTTAATAACACCTCAATTTTCAAATAAATTGTATCGAAAATAACTGCTTCCTCCGTTCCTAAAAGATCTTTTCCTTTCATTTAAAACCCCTTTTATCTCTTAATTTTTCATACCTTATCTATCACATCATACTTTTCTTACTAATAATCTATCTATCATATCTTACTTTTATCCATCACATCAAGAGTATTTTTGAAAAATCAACACAAAAAATCTCTCCTTTAATTTTCCAAAAAGTCAATAAGGAAACTCTTTTGGGACGGAGAAAGTACATCATATTGGTGGATGACTATTGTTTAACACGGAGTACAAAAGATTAATTTAAAAAAAAAAGAAAAACAAAAATAAAGGTAAGCCGCAGCTAGGACATGTGGTGGATGACTTTAATTATTCGGATTCCTGAAGAAGCCAAGAAAAGCCAAGTCTCTCAAACCAAGTTTTCTATATGTACGTCCAAACTAAAGCTGCCCATGCATAAAGGAATGCATGCATGCATATATATTACGTACAGTTGGTTAATATACGGAGTAATATAATGTGTATCATCATCATCATCATTCACCATCATCATCCTTAGCTTGCTTGCAGTCTGATAATTATATTGAAAATCATCGATATATATATATATATATATATATCCTATCTGATCTTAATTATATATAATTAATATGGCTACTAAACTTCATCATCATAAGCTTGGCTACAAAATTCTAACGTGTTTTCTAATCCTGGTTTTTGACATTGCCGCTGGAGTACTCTGCATTCAAGCTCAGGTTGCTCAGAGCAAGGTAATAATTAAGAAATATTTGCATTAAATAGCACTAATATTTAAGTCATTTCTCTAAATAACACTTAAATTATTTTATTCAATAAATAGTACGAAGTACTTAATAATGTCCATAATGTTCAGTGATAGTGAAATTTACTTGAATAATTACTAATGAATAATGACTAAAAGTGCTACATTTGGGAAAAGAACACATGTGGTACTATTTATAAAAATTTATTATGTTTTAGTGTTATTTACGTTACTTTTGCAATAATTAACTACAAAGTAGGGAGTACTATTTAATTAGAGATGACGATTAAGTTTATTTTTATTGGTACTATATATATTTTCTGTGAGTTAAATTTCACATAAAGTAATTTAACATTTCCTCGTCCGGTCGAGTTCTCTAAATTGTTTTTCGTAATAATTTACTCTTTGTGTCCCTGAAAACATGGGAGGCTTTGATTTTTAAGAGATTTAAGGAGAGTGTAAATTGATATTAAATTTCTAAAAATATCTTTTGATGTGATGGGTAAATGTAAGATTTGATGGATAGATTAATAGTGAATATATGTAATAGGTAGGTTAAGAATTAGTAGGGATAAAAATATTTTTTTAATAGAAATCAGAAAAGTTTTTTGAGACGATTAAAAAAAGAAAAGACAAAAGTTTTCAGAGACGGGGAGAGTATAATATAAGCGTTGTGGTTAATTATATTGCAGGTGGGGCACTTAAAGGTGTGGATATTTGAGTGTAGAAATCCAAGCCATGAAGCTTTCAAGCTGGTGGCCGCCGCCGCCATGCTTCTCTGTCTCGCTCACTCCCTCTCCAACTCGCTTCCGGGATGCGTCCGATCCAAGGAAGAAGAAGAAGAAGGAGAAGCGGAACGACGACTCCACAAACCCTCTTCTTGTAACAAACAACTCATCATGCTTCTTTCCCTAGTCGCCGAATGGTTTGTTTTTTCAATTATAAGCCGTTTTGAATTGACGAGCTGGTTGATTAAATTATTTATGATATAGTGTGGATAATTAAATTAATTTAATCATCAGGATAGTGTTGGCCTTTGCATTGCTCTCACTGATCATGGGGGCGTGGGGAGACTGGGGATCGAGAAAAATATGTGGCATTCCACGCCAGCATTATCTAACGACGGGAGGGATTATGTGCTCCGTGCACGTGCTCTTCTCTCTTTCCTATTACATGACCGCTAACAGTACAGCCGCTACTCCAGAGGAGGAGAGGAAGAAGAATAATAAGGCTCCTCAACAAGTAATTAGCAACGTGTAGCACACCTAATCCTTAAATAATAGGGAGTACTGCTTGAATAATGCCTACTGGCGAGAAAAATGTTCAGTGATGTTAGACATTTACTTTGAACAATATTCAATAGCAGTAGACATTTTACTTGAACAATAACCAGTGGTACTAAATTTGGAAAAAAAAACATATAGTACTACACTGGGAAAGTCAATATGTTTTTGTACTATTTAGGTAAATTCTGCTAATTGATAGTGTAATTAGCATGTGTGTTGGATCTATCATATAAGAGTGTGTACTCTTTTCTTCCTACAAGGCTTTCTTATGAGTAAATTCCATAATTGGTCCTTTATAACAGGGGGGTTTCCATATTTAGTCATCTATTATCAAATATTACCCTCGTAGTCCATTTTTTAAGGGTGTCTTTTCACAAATGGTCCTTTTTTTATCTTTTGCCATGTTGATATTAATTTAAAGGCTAAAAGTATAATTTGACATCAACATTATGTCTAGTGACGTGTTCTGATTTTGGTTAAGCGGATAACACAAAAATAATGACTATGATTATGGGCTAGGATTCCGACGAAAGACCACATTTGTAGACTATGGTTGTAGTAGAAAGCGACTGTAATTCACAAACGATGGAAACGGAACAGCCTTTGGAATTGTGTATGACATAAAAGATAAATTATCATTGCGAAATTACACTTTTAGCCCTCAAATTAACACCAACATGATAGAAGATCAAAAAAAGGACTATTTGTGGAAAGATACCCATAAAAGAAGGACCACTGGGGTAATATTTGATAATAGAGGACTAAATACGGAAACCCCCTGTTATAAAGGACCAATTAAAGAATTTACTCCTTTCTTATTCATTGTTGACACGATTCAAATAATGAGTGCTTCTATATAGACATATTTTATTTAATGTTTTACTCATACTTTAATATTTTTTCATAAAATTAGTTTATTACGGAGTAACATTTTTGTACCAGCTTATAATAACAGAAACACCGAAGCTAGCTAGTTCATTTGACATTCTCCGTACTTGTAAGCTGTTTCATAAATACGTCATCTTGCATACACACACACACACACATATAGACACACACACTTTTGATATCACATTATCCCACAACAGGGCCGGCCCTGGGGTAGGCACAGGGGGCCGCCGCTTAGGGCCTATTTCATAATAGGGCCCATAATTATTTTTTTTCTCTAATAGTACTAGTAATATATTATTGTAAAAAAACTTTAGTTCATGGTTTTAAGCTTTCAATTTTAAATAAATATATGAAGTACAATAATAATATGACACACTCAATCATTCTAATTCATCAAGTGATATTGCGCCTTCTTAAAAAAAATATAAGAGAACGCCAAAATTTTTAATTGTCCTAAGGCTCATAAAATGTCAGGGCGGGCCCTATCCCACAATCTTGATCCTCGATCACCTATAAAAGGATATGTAGATACCCTACTTCACGTGTTCCCAATGGAAAGGCATCCAATTCCTCTAGTTTGATATCTTTGTAGTCTAATTGAAAAGATTAAGATTTCAATTAAATATTTTGTTGAAAATATTATTCATAATAAACATAATTATGTCATATTTTACTTCTGTATATGTAATGTAAAGAAATTGGTTTATGCAAAAACTCAAGCATGTCGTTGTGATTTCAAAAGATTTTTTATATTGTAACATGTCTCTCACGTATAGCGTAGTCTTTTGTGGTAGTGGCTGGAAACGTTTTTTAAATATTCTAGCTTTTAATACTCCGTGCACTTTTATTTAATCTAATCTGGCTACGATGGGATAAAGGTATTATCATTTATATCTTATTAAAAAACAATAGTGCATATATATACTCTCTTCGTCACAAAATAAACTTCTAATTTTCTGGTTTGCCCCAAAATAAAATTGTCATTCCTTTTAAGATATAGGTTGTCTACATGAATCCTCTGTCTAGACAAATCTCGACTAAATAATTTTATTTTTTCTTGATTTATTTTGAAAACAAGTGATAAGTTTAACTTGGGATAGAGAAATTATATATTAATCTTACATGATGTTAAGAACTACTCCTCCATCGAGATTATTCTCCCGATTTGATCCTTCTTGGTCAAAGCTTGTAATTTTGACATTGATTAGTGGAAAAAATACATTATGTTTGAATATAAAAGTAAAAAATATTAATAGTTTCATTTTTGAAACGTAACTTTGATTTATTAATTATTTATAAAATATACCTATATATGTATAAGTATCGAAATTATAGCCAAATATATTATATTGGAGATTATAAAAGGTAAAATGAGATCAGAAGATTAAATCCAGATAAGAGAGTATCATATTAGCTCTTGTATCTCGGTGATTGTTAGAACTCTTGTTTAATATGCGGGAGGTCTTGAGTACAACTCTCTAACAAGAGCGTAAATTCTAATAAAAGATTCATATTTAATTAAAAACGTTAGTGTAATGTTTTTTTTGCCAAAGACCTACTTTTCTAGTTCATTTCTAACAATATTTTTAGAATTACGGTATTTTTTTAAATAAATAATACAGATTAATAATATTTAAAATGCTAAATTTAAAAATTGTGCTTGTATAATTTGTACATTGCAGTTGTTGACAAACTAAAAAGCATATAATATTGAGGTTAAAATTGAATGTATTGGCTCTTGTAGCTCAGTTGGTTAGAGCACCCGTTTAGTAAGCTTGAGTTCAACTCTCAACAAGAGCACAAAAGCATTTTGTTGCTAATTTAATTTTCTCGAAAACATCAATATTATTGTTTTACAACTTTGGAGATTATTACTAATATGTTGAATTATACTTTGTCCCTAAAAGGTTCTACAATTTAAATTTTTTTTATACTGTGGCATCATTTGATCGCAGAATATGGAAAAAATATTTCCAGCTATAATTTAAATTTAATAAAATTAAGTTTATTTTAAAATACAGTTTTGAAATATAAACTTTTATAATATTCAATTGTTTTAAACTGTATTTCACGGTCAAAGGATGCCAACAAAAAAATCAATTTATGACAAACTTAGTTGCTGCTTCCGGCAAAGAGAAGGAGAAAAAGAAAAAGAATAAGACGCGGCAACAAGTAATCACCCACGTCTCGCTAATCGACACCTGTGATTAATTGAAAATTAATTTTTGTGTTTGTGTTTTTATATTTGCATGATCTATCATTATATCATACAAGTATTTTTTATTTTGCACAAATTATAATACTCATTGAATTAGAAATAATTTTAGTTGAGTATCACAACCCACAACAATAAAGTCTTTTAGAGCCGAAGAAAGTATTTCCAAAGCAACTGATAATGTTATATATATTTAAGAATTCATGGATTTTTATTCGTGGAATTTTTCAAGTTGAAGGACTAACCGTGCATAACACAATAACTTGAAAGACTAACGGTGAAATTTAGTCTAGTCTTAATTAGAGTAAAAAAATCATGTTTCTTTAGTTGTTAACCACAATTTTAGTTTTTGATTAAGTTATTTTGTTAACATAGTATTAAAGTTTTTTTGACCTAGAAGTCATAACTGGAGATTTTTCAAAAAACTTAGGAGATTTTTCAGAGAATCTTGATTTTGAAAATGGAGCTAGATATCTTTCATGCTACAAATGTACTAAGGTTTATAAAATGAGCATGGATTTTAAGTCTACAAAAGAATTTGCCTAAAAACAAATACTCCGGAATAAAGTAAGCAATCAATTAATGCCATGTTCTTTTGAGTTGAAAAGATTAACTTTCAACTTTTTTTTTTTAATTTTTTTCCAACTTTTGTAGTATCTTCCAACAACGGCTTAAAAAGTATTTATATATGATTAATATAGAATACCATTATATATCCAAACTTATAACATATCACCTCAAACACAACAAGGATGAATTCTTTGTTATCCAAAGTTAGAGCTTTTTAACATATTTATTTTAATGATAAGTTAATTGAGTATGCTTTAATTATTACAACTCTTCCCGTTTTTATAATTCACTTTTTTGAGGTTCTTCTAGCACTCAAGTCTGAAATTACAATCCAAAAGAATATAGCCTAAATGTAGAGTAATCAAACTCTATGGTTATTTTAACATTGGAATCTAATGTCATATTATATTATGACATTGGACTCCAATGCTTCAGCTGGCCCAAAAGTGATCTCTACCCCTCTTAGGCTCCGTTCCGTTCAACTTATTTTTTCTGATCTGATTTGATTTTAATAAGTTCTGATCTGATCTGATTAGATCTGATCTGATCTGATTGGATCTGATCTGATCTGATTGGATCTGGTCTGATCTGATCTGATTAATTATGATTTAATTTAAAATTTCAAATCAATAATTTGATTTGACTTTATAATAACGTTTGAAAATTGTAATGATAATTCATATTATAATATAATCAATATTTTTTATTTAATGATTATTTTTTAATAAAATAAAAATAGTTAATTCATATATTAGAATAATCATTCATATTATAATGTAATAATATTTTTTATTTTATGATTATTTTTTTTGTGAAATTAGAATATTAATTTAATATTTTAATAATTACTTCATATATACATTAGAATAAATATTTAACTTAGATATACATTAAAAAGTAATTAAATTTAGATAATCAATATATAGAAGAGATAATATTTTTATTAAAATATCTCATCCTTATAAAATATCAAAACTTTAGAAACTCAAATTACAAGTAGTAATAAAGTAGTATTAGATTGACATTGTCAATGTATTTTAAAACTAATTGTTCTGACGTCTAATAATTAAGGATTACTTTCTCAGTTTTTGTATTTAACCTATTTCTAAAGTTTATTCTTTTTCATTTTTAAGAATAATAATAATAATAATAATAATAATAATAATAATAATAATAATAATAATAATAATAATAATAATAATAATAATAATAATAACAATAATAACAACAACAACAACAACAACAACAACAATAATAATAATAATAATTCTTGATGGGATCTGATTTTAATAAGTCCTGATCTGATCTGATCTGATCTGATTGGATCTGATCTAATCTGATCTGACCTGATTGGATCTGATCTGATATGATTGGTTCTGATCTGATCTGATCTGATTCGATCTGATTTGATCTGATCTGATTCGATCTGATCTGATCTGGTCTGATCTAATCTGATCTCATCTGATTTTAATAAGAATAAGAAAAAATAAGAAAAAATAAGTTGAACGCAACGGGACCTTAATCTTTCTTTCAAAGTTAAAACCTCACACCCCTCGATGTACACGCCCTTCCAGTTGTACCCCTAATTGGATTGATATTTAAGTCAAAATTTTTTCTAGTTTTTTTTACAATTTCCAATTATTTCTAGTTTTTTTAGTTTCATCCAATTTTTTTATATTTATTCTATTTTTTTAGTTCTTTCTAGTTTGTTTCAATTTTTTTAAGAGTTCTTTTTTTTAGTTAATACAAAAAAAAAGTTTTTAGAAACTCCCACTCACGTCCGAGTGGTCCGACCGCTGAGCGAGACGAGCAGGCTTAGCATCCATTTGGTTCATGGCGTCACGAATCCCGAGATTACGACTTCTTCGTCAACCCCTGCCGCCGCCATTGTTCACATTTTTAAACTCGACATCCCGGCGTTTCTGGAAGACCCGATCAGTTTTTATGCATTCATCCTCTGAGATTGGTGGGTTTCCTTTTAATCGAAATTTTCGCCTGCCATTTGTTTGTTGAAATGTTACTGTGAAACTTCTCAGTATAGGCTCATTTAGACCTAGGATGATTTTGAAGTTCATTTTTTCCTGCTGAAATTGGAATTTTATTTTTCCATCTGGTAAAGCAGCATTGGGTTGATGGGTTCAAGTGGTTTGGTTTTTGTAAAGTTTATTTTGTTCTGAATGTGACTGTATATTTTGGCTCTATCTAGTGTTGAGTTTTTTTGAGAAATCTGCTTCAGATTCAACAAGGCTAAAGGGTTGCACTGATATTGATCATGAAGAATTTCATAGATGGGGTAATGGAGGTGGCTCTTTCCACAAGTCTTCTAGAATTGATCCAACTGCAGTCATAGAAATTGGTGCCATAGTGCATTCAGAATCAGTTGTGGCATCAAACGTTCATGTTGGTTCAGGTTCAGTCATTGGACCTTCAGTCACAGTCGGGCAATCAACAAGAATATGGTATAGTTTCTGCAGTATTGTGAGTTTTATGTGATGTTTTATTCGAGTGTTTAATCAATTTCTTTCCTCAATTTTTCTCTTGGTTTAAGCTAGGTATGGTGTCGCACTCACTAACTGCACAGTTGGTGATTGTTGTGTTCTCCATAGTGGCGTCTGCATTGGACAAGATGGTAATGCTGAGTCTAAGATCTTTTCATCAATCTTTTTATTGTCAACATCTGAAAATTCATTTTCTAACAGGCTTTGGTTTTTTCGTGGATGAACAAGGAAACATGGTGAAGAAGCCTCAAGTTGGTGAAATATGTTTTACCACATACTCTTTACTACATCTTACTGAATTCCCCCCACCCACACACACAACAGTTGAATAAGTGAGTGATATGAAAATATCAAGATTTTACATATTCTCTTGTTTGCAATGTGCAGTGACTAAATAAACCGTTGTATTGTCGTCAGGGATGCATCACGTTATAAATTTATCATTCTATAACTGTTGTTTTGGCATTGACATTGTTGTTGATTCCCATATTCAGAACCTAAAAGTGAAAGTAGGAAACCATGTGGAGATTGGGGCAAATTCATGCATTGATAAAGGCAGGTAATTGTGATTCCTGAATATCAACTGAAGAATTTAGTGTACCTTACTTTCTGAGTATTGATTTTGATCATTTAATCTTTGGGGATGTCCAGTTGGAGAGATACTGTTATTGGAGATCATTCGAAGATAGATAATTTAGTTCAGGTATCTCAACTTTATCTTCAGCGTCAAGCACACTTCTGTTCTGGAATCCTAACATACTAAATCTTGCAGATAGGTCACAATGTGGTAATTGGAAAGAACTGCATACTCTGTGGACAAGTTGGAATTGCTGGCTCAGTAACGTACTTTGCTCCCCCACCTCTCTCTCTCTCTCTCTCTCTCTCTCTCGCTCGCTATGCTTATGAAAAAATTAATTGGTTTCAACATTTTATGACGTTTAGAATCTCCCTTTCAGCATAGGCGATTATGTAACTATGGGGGGAAGAGTTGCTATTCGTGACCATGTATGCATTGCCTCAAAGGTAGTTGCTCAAAAATTTTAATTTCTTAAATTTACTACTCTTAATGTGTATATTTAGTTTGGGTTTATGCTACTGAAGCTAGTCCTGAAAAGCCGTGTTCTTGCTGAATAAATGTTCTCTGTGTTTTCATTTTCTCGAGCTCTCAAATCCAATATTTTTGAAATTGGCATGCTCTGTGGTTTATGGTTTATGAACTCTCTCTCTCTCTCTCTATGGTTTCTTCATTCAATCCATACGTGGTTGATAATATAGATAAGTACTGTTTTGAACTCTATAGGTCAGGTTAGCTGCTAACAGCTGTGTTACCAAGGATATAAATGAGCCGGGGGACTATGGTGGCTTCCCTGCTGTAAGAGTTCTGCACTCATGTTCTGTTAAATGCATACCAGGTCTAATTGTTAGTTTAATGTTTTAAAATACTGAAGCATCTTTCTGAAACTTCAGAAATTCTTTTTATGGATTCAGGTTCCTATTCATGAATGGCGAAGGCAAATTGCTGCCCAACGACAGTCCCCAAAGTAGGGACCCATTATTTGAGAAGTCCAAATGTTTATGTAAGCCATTGAGTATAAATTTCTGAAAATTTTTTGTGCACTTTTTTTGTCTGAAAATTTTTGCGCATACTTAAATTTGTCCAACTTAAAATGAAGAAATTCATTGTGAGGATATGAACTCAGTAATTAACTAACCATGCACTTTATATCAAAAAGGTCTTTAATAGAAAACCAAAAGGAAGTTCAAAGAAAAGAAAAATGCCCTCTAAACTAAAGAAATAGATCTGAACATTTAAGTGATTTATAAAGAAAGAGGAGATATAAAAAATAGATCTGAACATTTAAGTACTGTAAATACCAAAACAGTACTTATACCAAAATGATAATATAGATAATAAATGATCTGTATGAAATACCAAAATATTTGAATTCACAATTGTTTAATTTTTTTGAATACATATTTGAATCTAAATATGAAATGAATTTTAAATTATATTGATATTTTTGATTGATATTTGCATAGTTAATGAATCTTATATAAATATTCAATTGGTGCTAGTTATAATTTAAATGATGGATTGAGATCAATTCTTGACCCTTTAACTTATGTTACTCCGTATTTCTTTACTACTACCGTTCCTCAGTATGTCCAGTTTTAACATTTTATAGTCAACTACTTTCAACTTTTGACCTATAATTAATAAAAGTTATATACTGTACAGAGTATTATTTAGATAAAACAATATGGGTTGTGCACCCCTTCTGTCTTAAATATCCTGCCCCTACTGAAATCATTTCGATTTAAAATGAACACAATAATTGTAATTAACAAAAAGGTTCCTTAACAGAGAGCCAAATGGAAATAAAGAGTAGAATGTGCCTTCTAAATTTTAAAAATAGAGCTGAACACTGAAGTGTGACTTATAAAGAAGCAGGACATCCTAGTTTACAATCCACTTTAATGTAATATATGATGCAAGATTTACCCTGCATACACTCAATACTTCAGAAAGGTGATTTTTTGTTGTTGAAGGGAGTAACATTCTCCCGTTCCATTGAGACCAATCGTTACATTGTGTACATATGCTTCATAATGCATCTTATGGTATTTGGTTTTCCATTTCAGAATCCCATACCGAGCTGTTGTGTCCAAACCAATCACGAGACTGGTCTTATGCAAAAGCCGTTGCAGGTCAGCTCTTACCAGAAATACCCTTGTAGCATTATTATTCTTGTGGTAAGTCTGATAGAAGCCTGGTGCGAAACTCTCTGCTACAATGGCCCCACTGTGTCTGATAGTGACGTGGATGTTGCTGTAGTGTATGCTCATGCCCTTGTTGGGGTTGAAGATTTCGACCCCCAACAGGACAGAAGCATTCCATAGACCACTTGTTTCGTAACGGGCTGTAGAATTCCCGTTATCCGAAACAAAAACACGGAGATCCGCGACTGTGAAGTCTGGATGTTTTGGGATTAGACAGCGCCATATGAGGAGAGATATCAAAGTCCACACGGTCGCGACCTGAAAGCACCACCAGTAGATCTTACGTTTGTATCCGTCTTGTTTTCCAGGTGCCATTTCGGGTTTTGTTGGGTTCATGATGTTGCAGAGGCGGGTTTGTTGCTGGTGTTTGATGACACTTTTTCTTGGTCTGTTTATTTGAATTTATAGACTGGCTTTCCCTCTCTTTACTTCCTTTCCTACTGTCTTAAGAAATGTACGTGTAGGTGTAAACTGAACCTTTTGAGTGTTTGTGATCTGTAGTGAGTCTTATCTCTTTCTTCATTTGTTTCAAAGGAAGTGCAAAACCACCTCATTGATTGAATGATGGGAGGCCTTTATCAAAACCACTCTTTACTGTGCAAGTTCTTTCTTTGGTAAGAAGAAAAGAAATAATGTCGTCACAAGTTTTTTTTATTTATAATGGTCCAATCGAGTTAAAAGACAGGGATACATTGGAGATTTCGAGTGCATGTCGAAAATCACTCTTAAGGTCCCTACAAACTTTACTCTTATGATTGTGAAGTGTTTGCTGTCAAAAAAAAATGATTGTGAAGTGTTAAAGAGTTTAAAATTTGTGATTAGAATTTATTTAGTCGAGAGAAGTCTTCTACTCATATACTCTCTCCGTCCACTCTCTTTGTTTACTTTCTTTTTTACACGTCTACCAATGAAGGGTGAGAAGTTACAAAAGTACCCTTACATCCATGGAGCCCATACTCAGTTATTCCTGATTCGTCATCCTCTCGTTCGCATTGGTCTAGCAAAAATATCAAGAATGGAATTGCATCAATTGAGATTCGAAAATCAATTAAGCGGCATATCTATTGCTAAGAGCTCATCTGCAGACTGCAATGGTCTATACCCCACGAACTGGCGATTGAGAAGCCACAACCCCATATCAATAATTGGAAAGTTGATTATCGATTTGAGATGAGGAAGAACACTAGCTGTGGTTTTCAATTATTTATGAAGAATGGAGATCAAAAGTTTTTGCATCTCGCTGCCAGTTATGGTTTATAGAGAAAACAAATAAAGTTCCTCACTAGATGCGGAAGAACAAATCCTTCCGATTGAAGAAAACAATTGAACATCGTCACCAAATAGTTAGGAAGGGCAGGAGGAAAATCAGCACTTCGTAATTGCGTTTGGTTTGTGAGGGCATATATGTCATTTTAACACTCATTCCTTACCAAAAATAGAAAGTAGATAAATTCACTGGGACAGTCTAAAAATGAATACTAAAAATAGTCACAAATACCGTTGTTGATTGTTATGCATTGTGTGATTGGCCTTTTTCATTCATGGAGGAGTTTATTTACAACAGTGGCTTTGATCATGGGTGAATGAGTTGTTCAAGATTCCACACACCAAAAATCAAGGCTAGAAACAAGTTACACCAAAAACATTCATTATCATTCTTTTAATATCATTATGAGAACCATTTCTTTGTCGTGTTCTCTACTGATGTCTCATGAAGATTAACTTTCTTCGAGTGAAGGGTCTAGGTACAAATGAGCTCTAGACTCTATTATCATGAGATCTTATAGGGATCCGAGAAACTATCAAATCCTCCATAGAAGAATGAGCTAGTAACAATACAAATACCTTCTCAATTAATTATAGAGTATTACGGAGTGTTATTCAACACATTTGTACAAATGAAAAAGTACTCCTTTATATTTTGATGGGTGGGGTTCCAGTGCCACTGAGCAAATTTTGAACTGAGCAAATTTTGAACTCCAATTACTCTCAATTTATATTGCATATTAGCATAATGAAATACAATTTTTAAAGTTCTGAATATGATAAATTCAATAAAATCATTTTTATGTTAAAATACATTATGATTTTTATTTAATTGAAGCTCAAAATTTGTCCAATTTGACTCGAAAAAGTCAAATTTGACAAATACACTGGGACAGAGGAAATATTAAAAAGTCATGTTTAACCCTATTAATTCTTAACCTATTTTTTTACATCATGTTTTTTTCACTATTAACCACCCATCTCATCTTATTTTATCCATCACATTAAAGTACATTTTTGGAAAGTCAATTTCAAAATATACTCTCCTTAAAACTTTTAAAAGTCAAATTAGAAAAGTTTTGTGGGACAGAGTGAGCAAAATACTCTAGAAAAAGTATTCCATACTTATTACTCCCTCCGTCCTAAAATTAATTTCCCAGTTTGACTTTTGCAGTCAAACTTTTTAAACTTTGACCATAGATTAAGGAAAAAATACATTGAATTTTCATAAAAATTTATTAGGAATAGATTCATTTTGGAATATAGTTTTGAAATACTCCGTATATAATTTTTATAAAACATATTTATATAAAAATTGAGATATTGATGGTCAAAGTGTCGCATTGGAGACCGTGAAAAGTCAAATGAGAAGTTAATTTTAGGACGGAGGGAGTAGCATGTTGCATGTCAAAGTCACTAAAAAAGAAAGCACAAACTTTTTATAAAATTGGAGGGAGTGTACTTTATGGAAAAGGTGAACCGGTTGAGCAGATTGAATCCACTCTTGATGAGGGGAATCCCACCGATCCTCGTTCACACATCAAAAACCTTCTGTTAGGGCAAAAACTTTGCCTGCCAAAGGTGGAGTTAATGCGGAAATAGCTTCTTCAATTACCTGGAAAAACATATGCAATAAACGAAAGAAAGAAAGAGGACCGGACTCACTCAATCATAAACAATTCTCTTTGAGGAATCGAAAAGCACACACCTTTAAAAACACAGAGTAAAATCTCAAAGAAAGAAAGAGGACCGAACTCACATCCAGTTTATATCGAGCTGAGAAATGAATCAGAAGTATCGCTTTGTTTTCAAACCGGTCCGCATATTCGACTATCTGTTACAGTTTCATGAAAACAACAATTAGTGCCGGAAAGAGTGGGAGAAAATATATACAAAAGAAAATTGGTACCTCAGACAAATGAGTATGCCCATACTCCCTAGCAGCCTCCGTTGAGGTTGTTTTGTCGACATACGTGCTCTGTAGAGACAAACCCAGATGTAAGGAATTTAGTTGCTCCATGGAACATCAAATCGAAAGCGAATGCACAAGAAAAACAACCAATTTATCGATGAACAGCTATTCTTAATTCTTAACACAAACATCCTATACCGGATCAAGAATGCTACTATAGGAAGGAGGGAGTGGAAATGTAGAATAGAGTAAAGAGGCAAAGGGAGGAATTATCAAGAAAGAAATTGGTCCTCTCTTAAACTGAAAACAAAAGGAAATACCTCAAGGTATTTCCAACAAAAGAACTTGCCCAACAGACAGGGTTGCCCAACTCTGACTCTGAGTCCTGAATTCTATTAATCTATAGCAATACCTCGAGGTGTTTGACATAGATTCAATAAATCCAGTCTTGGAGAGAGAGAGAGAGAGAGAGTGTGTGTGTGTGTGTGAGAGAGAGAGAGAGAGAGATTAAAGCAGCTGCAACACTTCCCACCAGACATGCACCAGAAGGCAGAAGGTGCCCATGCACTCTGACCAAACCAGCACCGAGCTTTGTCATCCAAAAAGACTAGAATTTCAGTGACCAAAATGGCGCCCAAACCAGCGGAATGAAATTTCACACCGAATATGACAAAAGGATAAAATGCGTGCAAAGCGATCAGCATCGACATTGAAGAAGATACTCCACGAACCGTATTGAAATTTCGGCGACTTTCAGAAAGATTTAAATTACGGCGCAAATATATATATATATGTGTGTGTGCCCACGGAGTCCCAAAACTTTTGTCCATATGGCCAAGAGTTTTTCATCCTTGCATATAGGCAGTACTGCAGTGGTTTTTTTTATTATCAGCAAATTTGGTCATTATTATCAATGAAGAGGTTGAAGCACTATTGGTCTAGGAAATTTACACTATGTTGGTTCAAGGAATTTAGAAGGAAAAGAAAAGAAAATGGATTTCTCTCATTTTCCTTACCAAAATAGGAGGAATTTTGTTTTCTCTCCTCTTAGTATATTTTGCCTTCTCATTTTCTTTTACTCTCAAACCAAACAAGAAAAATTATTTTCCATCTCATTTTCTCTTATTTTCCCTTTGTGCTTTATCTGTGGATTCTGTGCTATACTGTGTTCCCTTCCATATTTTTGTGCAGGTGGAGCCGGGGGTCTCTTGGAAACAGCCTCCCTACTTCCGAGTAGGGGCAAGGTCTGCGGACACACACCCTCCCCAAACCCAACTGTTGTGGGAATCAACTAGGTTGTTGTTGTTGTTGTTGTTGTTTCTCTTATTTTCCCTTTCAAATTCCCTGAACCAAACATAGTGTTAGGAATTCATTCATGAAGATCAGCAGGGTCTATGAACAGGCTTTAAAACAAAAAAAAACTCTCATACTCTGCACTGGTGCAATGAAGGGTCAGATTCTTAAGTAACAGGAAGAATCTTATAGGAGAAGTTCTATACCTCCATAATCAGTATCTTTGCCCTTAAAACATCGATGTTGTCACCATCCAAAATGAAATCTGACATTGTGTCTCCTGTAAAAGCAATTTCAGGTGTTCTTACAGTGTTTGTGACCTGTGAGAAAGGAAAAAATATATGTCACTCATCATCTATTCAAACGATGCTATGTGGAATTTGATTGATCATTTAATTTTTTTATGAACTGTTGCATTAAATTAAAAACACAAGATCATTGCAACAGACTTCCACACAAGATGACTTCAAACTCTTTATTTCATCCTGTCCAAGACCAATGTATTCTTGCTTAAGCTTTTCTTTTATGGAATAAAGTATGTAACCCTGCATGTCACCAAGAGACAAATATGTATTAATGACACAAAAAATTGAATGTTGACAAACGGAAAGAATGTGATCATTACAAGACAAGGTTCACTATGCACATCTCATAGAGAGAGAGAGAGAGAGAGAGAGAGATCGGGGGATACGACTTAAATGCTGATATACCGAAAGCTTGTGATCATTACAAGACAAGGTTGAGAGAGAGAGAGAGAGAGTGTGTGTGTGTACAATTTAGACAAAAAATAGAAACACCAACCAACGTTTTTACGGAATCAATGGAGGCGTGTAGTGAAGATGACTCGAGGAGATATAACCTGGCTGGGTATGACATGGTAAGTTCTGAACGCCTTCACTTTTAGCTCTTTGCTTAAGGAAAACTCTTCCCCTGAAAATACATAGCACAACACACCTTAAATCTAAGTTCAAATTAATATAGAGAGTGCTTCTGTGGTGCACCTTGAGTGCAGACCAATTTTGTGGACCTCACAAAAAAAATCTTTTTTTTTATATTTATATTTTTTTTAAAAACAAATGCTTATCTAAGTAGTAAAGAAATGCTAGGTCCATGGTGCAACTTAGGTCTACCATAGAATTCGCCTAATATAAAAAGACAGGAAAAGCAAACTTAATTGAAGTAGCCACTGTCCACTGGAGGCATTCAAACCAAATGAAAAATTAATCAGAATGCAATCAAAAAATCAATAAACTCTCCCGTATCCATCCAATAATATTTATAACTTAAAACACAATATGCCTAGTAATGAAATAAATCATTTGGTGTTATTTAAGAAATGAAATAAAATATTACCCACATCCAAGGCAACCAAAGTATGATTGAGTTCAGATTGGTCCATAGCTCTATGAGCTTCAAAAATCTTCTCAACACTTTCCTTAATGGCCTTTGGCACAATAATTGTAGGTGGCATCATTCTATAAAGGCCACGTGTGGCCACATACATGGGCAATCCTCCAATGTGGTCCATATGGCCATGGGAGATGAAGACAAAGTTTTGAGACACAGCGCGCTGCGGGCACTTGCCAATATCAAATGCTAGCTTTAGACCGGGGATAATGACACATGTTTCATGCCCAGCAATTGAAATTCCTTCAATTTGATAGTTTTCTATGCTTAGTCCCCTTTTTGAAGCTTTTTCCTTGCCATCCTTGTTCTTAGATTTTGCTACACATGTACTTGAAGTAGAGGTGCTTGTTTCAGGCGTCATCTCCATTGATTTTTTAAAAACGATCCTAAGATAATAAAATAGTCAATCTTATAGATATCAGAACACTGACATATCTTCCTTTCTAAGGCATAAAACATAGCTATTGTGAATATGACATGCATAATACCTTATGCAACAACAACATAACTAACAACAAACCTAGTATAATTCCAACTTCGTTGCGGTCTAGGGGGTCAAGATGTACGCAACCTTAACCTTGTAAAAAACCATATTGGATGTTTCTGTTATACCCTTGATCCGTTGTTGTATTTACTGCCCAAAACTTCATAGAAAGTGCTCTGTAAGAAAGAAGACAAACTTAATGTACCATTTTGATTTAGTCCAATCAATACCCATAAATTCGAGGAGAGGATGCCGAGAGAAGTTAGAGAGAAAGGGAGGATTCACATTGATTGATTNGACCCCCCCCCCCCCCCAATGACATGGAGGGGGTAAGTAACTACATATAGACAATGCATTATAAATGGGTGTTACTACATTTTCGTACTGTTTTCTTGTGTAGGGATGAATGGGCAAGGCATATAATGATACTTAGAACAGTTCAAAGAGATAAAATAAGCAGAAAAGAAAAAATCATTAACAAATGTGAAGAATGTGTGTGTTGGGTTTATAAGAGTTTCTTGATGGTCCTCAAATTTTGAAAACTATTCCATAATCGGCACTTCGCGGACTATTTGTGGAAAAAATATTTTGTTGTATTTGGCCTAAATGACTATTTGTGGAATAGTTTTCAAAAATTGAGGACCATTTATGTAATATCATATAATTTGGGACCGAGTATGCAAAACTATTTATAATTGGAGACTATTTATGGAATTTACTCTATTTAATTTGTTCAACCGATGGATCAAATCGATTGATCTTTGGATGGATGGTGGACAAGTAGTTTTTTTTCCGTGTAGTCTGAAAATTTGCACGTGTGAAGATCACATCATGCTTTCATGATTGTCTGGATCAACATCGCACTAGACTAATCCAAAGGGCAGTTGGCTACTTCACTTTGCTAAACTCATTAATCTTTCATTACAAGCTTACTTAAGAATCATGAGTAGATATTAATTCTTGTAACATTAAAAGACTTGTGAGGTTTTAGCACTGAAAATGACTTTTGGCGACACAAACGCAGTCTTTAAGATTAAGGGGTGAATCTAAGATTTAGGGTAGTCAATGAGGCACATGTAATTGTTCAAATTTCTTAACACTATGTTGGGTTCAAGGAATTCGGAAGAAAATTTGGTTTCCGTCTTCTCATTTCCTTTTCTTTCCATTTCAAATTCCTTGAACCAACCATAGGGTAAAAGACCATCTCCTTCCCTGCATTAAACTGACACAGGCATTTTATCGAGCAGTTAGAGTGCACATAACATGATAGATACTGTTTGCACGCAGATGATTATCAAACTATCGAATAATCTGAGTACAATTGAATGAATTGAAACTTGAGTGCAAACAACAACAACTGCTACAATCTAACAAAAAAAACTAATACAAGTTAAATGGAAAATGACAGATTCTAACCTGAGCGGCCGTTTCAGCGCAGAGAGCGTCGCTCCAAACAAAGGACTCGCTGGAGAAGAAGGAAGCACATTACTCATACTTTCCAGAACTGATGATATATTGGTAGATTCACAGGTGGTCGAGCTTGTGGAAATTTTTATTTACGTGTTTTCATTTTTTTGAGTTGGGTGAAGTTTTTCATTGACTAGAGACCAGAGGAGAAGTTTTGAATTTTATTTATTATTTGATAAAATAATGAGCAATTCTAGGTTCACAAACAAAATGTTCATAAAATTTACAAATCTATTATATATGGTTTAAATTTTCATTTTAAAATCATTTTAGACTATTTAATTTTTTTTGTTGAAATTTACAAATACGGAGTAGTAAATTTGTGAAGTTTGTGACTATTTTGTTTGTGAATCAAGCATTTTCCTAAAATAATACGGAATATATTTTTTTGCCTCTTGTTTTGTAAAACATTTGACGTGGTTTAAAAACATAAGTTTTATTATTTATTTCTATACTATTTTTAAAATTTTTCTTATGAAGTGATCTTGATATAAAATTAAAAATTGTGGAATGAAATTGATAATGTGAAATGATTGATTTCATACATTAGCTCATTTAGTAGAGTTAAAATTGGGTTAACGGAAATATTTAAAAAATAAATCTTGAGAGAGAAAATTTAAAATTATCATAAGCATTATTTTTTTTGGTATCATTCATATTGATTATTTGAATGTTTGCTTGTATGAAATTTATTAGAAATATTTTTTTGTTGGTATTATAAAAAAACAAAATAAGAACACTACTCAAACCCTTGTATTTCTCTTACCTTTTGCGAAAGATGCCCGAGTCGTATTTTTTTTACTTGGATCGCCAACAATCCTTCTAGAGATTCAAATACAATTAATACCGTATATAGTTTATTTTGGAATAGGAGTAATTTTTAGCAATAGATTGTCACATGAGAGAACTCTTTGAAAATACTAAAATAAAAGCCCAAAGAGCTTATTATCTTCGCCGGACCTGATTGAAATAAATTTCGAAGTAGTATATTTTGTATTACTCGTGAGAGACCCAGTGACATTAAACCAAATGTTATTTTGTCATCAAACCTATTTTATTTTGTTCGTCTCTTGGGCATGTAGAACAATTTAATTTAAAGCGATCGAATGATGTCATAAACAAATGTTGGCAAGAAACTTTTTCATATATATATTCCCTCCCAACTAGGCACTATTTCTTTTCGGTTGAATTGAACTAAAATTTGGTTCTAATTCTAACTGAAAAGTGCTAAATTGAACTTGATTGAAAATAACTCAATAGAACTACCTAAGAATTAGCGGTGAAAAGAACAGGCCCTACAACCGTTCTTGTAGAAGCTAAAGCTTCAACACTTGAAACACTAAGAATTGCAAGTGTGGATGACTAAAAAAAGGGTGTTATCCACTTTATCTTTCCTGATGGGTTGGGGGAAATGAGAATTCTACACATCGCAACGGCGCCTGATTCATGCCATGCTAGTTGTATATTGTTCCCTCAGTGCTGTCCTGTTGAACCTGTAGGCAGATGGAAAGACGTGACAAATATGAACTTGCATTATGAAACTGCGTTTTAAGATTTTCATTTTATCAGGCAAGGCATTTACCATTTTCAGTTGGCAACTGATAATCGTTGTTGCTGTCACATTAATGCTTGTGGTCTAGTCTCCCTTGGTTCACTTTTTTCATAAATCACCTAATTTGACATCTTTCCATTTACCTGCTTAGTTCTTCTCTAAGTTCAGAAGAAATAGTGTACCTTCAGTTTTGAAGTCATCAGCACGAGCAAGATTCACAGGTTGATTTGAAACACTTGGCTCCTCAAAATGATAGACATTTGAGTTGAGTCAAATGTATTCTTCCTTCAATGATTTTGCATCAGATAATAATGTAGTATTCATATTCTTTGGTATTAGAACCGTTGATACTATCCCATTCGGTTGGCTAGCCGTTCACTTATGTCAAGTATCAACCATGAACAATGCTGTTTGGGATAGGGGATCCAGGATTGAAGCCATGCTACCAATAATCATTGCAAGAACACATCCCACTTGTAAAATGATGGAAACGGTTTGAATCCCTAACAACAATCCGCTTTTGAATGAGCCCTGAAGTTATTTTCATGAAGTTGTGGCAATCCAAACAAATGCGGATGTTCTTCATTATCCTAATGACACCCGATTTGCAGTGAGGATCATTAGAATTCATCAACACAAACATCAGAGCCAGCTTCTCACTGTGGTAGTACAGCTGTTCCTCTTTTTGCTCTTCTTCTATGTCATGAAGGACCAAACTAGTTTGAGGAATGTACCCCAGTTTCTTCAGCTGTTTTACAAGATCCTGAAGACTGGCACGAATAGCTTCTCCAAGGTTGTGTCTCTGTCCACCAGAAGCAAACTCATGTATCCTGCCACCAATTTCTGTCCAGCTCAACCCAGGCTCCTTCCGAACTCCATGCTCTTTCATTTGCTTCCTTACAAGGCGTGCTTCATCGAAATTATTCAAAGACAAATATGTGTTTGACATTGTGACATAACCTAATGAGTTCCCTCTATCTAGCTCTTTCAACTTTGAAGCAGCAATGGTGGCCAGTCGGTGTTCACTGTGTTTCCTGCAACCAGCAAGTAATGCACTCCACACAACACTATCTGGCTGCATAGGCATCTCTCTTACTAACTTCACCGCTTGAAAAATCTGCCCAGCTCGCCCTAGTAGATCAACCATGCAGGCATAATGATCAAGTTGAGGGGCAACACCATATTTTTGTGTCATGCTATTAAATACCCTAAACCCTTCTTCAACCATTCCAGTATGGCTGCAAGCAGAGAGCAAAGCAACAAAAGTTTTCCCATCAAGTTGAACGTTAATGTTCTCGAACAACTTCAGTGCCTCCTCTGGTTTCCCATGGAATGCATAACTTTTTAATATGGAATTCCATGACACTGTATCCCTAAATCTCATCTCATCAAAAACTTTCCTAGCCTCAGTCATTGAGCCACACCTTCCATATGCATGCATTAGTGCATTTTCAAGCACTAAACAATCTATAAACCCAGCTTTAATTACTCGGCAATGCAGCATGAGGGCATGCCTTTCCGTCACGAACCCAGCACAAGCTTTTAATGCAACAGAAAAAGCATAGCTGTCTGGAACAAATCCTTTTCGATTCAAATGGCTAAAGAGCGAGAGAGCCACCTCTGGTTCTTTTTCGGAAAATGCTGCCATAATTTCAGTCCACAAAACTATATCTTGACAACCACGAAATTCAAGAAACAGCCTGTAACACTCACCAACATTTCCGTCAAGAAAAGAATATGCTTTTATCAAAGCGGTCACAATCTCTACATCTAACAAAAACCCCGTCTTTAAAATAATACAATGCAGTTGAGAACAGCATCTATGACTCCAAGAAACATCATGCTCTTTAACTCCACACACTAAAGAAAGTACAGTGACAAGTGTGACACGGTCAAATCCCAAACCATCAGAATGCATCTTCACGAAAAAGCTCATGGCTTTGTCACACTGGCCACTCTTATGAAAGCCTGCTATCATTGCATTCCACGTAACAAGATTACGAAACTCCATGTCACTAAAGATCTTCCAAGCTTCATTGTCACTACAGTGCACACTCATCTGGATATTGCTGGTATACATCCCAATCAATGCATTTCCCACATGAACAAAGAAACTACACCCAGTCTTCAGTGCATGTGCGTGCAGTTGTCGACCCCGAAAACCATTGCATGCTGAAAGCAGGCTTGCGTACACAAAATCGTTAGGTTTACATAGAGCTAGCTGCATATCCGAGAATAAACTGAAACAAGTATTGGGATCACCACACTGGGCGTAACCAGAAATCAGGGAGGCCCAAGACACAATATTTCTACAACGCATTTGATCGAACAGTTGACGGGCACAGTCCAGCCGGCGGCACTTTGAATACATGTTGATAAGATGATTGGCAGTGTAAAGGTCTTGGATGGCATCCGGGTTGTGTTTAATCATGTGTTTATGGAGGGATTGGCCAACACCGATGCAGCTCAGGCGTGCACAAGCGTGGAAGAGAATGGCGTGTGCAGAGGGGGAGTGCAGAGCATTCGAGTTTGGAGAGTAGAAAATGGAAAGGGCTTCGTCGAGATGGCTGTATGTTGGCCTACCGCGCAACCTTTCAAGAACGGCGTTAAGCTCCGCCGTGGCCGGAAAACATGTCGTCGTTAACATCCTCTTGCAAATCATGATATCATGCTTAGTTTCCGGCCTAAATTTTAGAAGAAAGTTTAGCCACTAAACCACACAGTACACTCACTTCCTAAAAACTGACAAGCAACACTTGCCCCATTTATTTTTTCATTTCCATAATCACTTCACACTCTCTCATTTAACCCAGTGGCGGGACAGTCAAAGAACCCAGAGTCCCAGAGTGAGAACGAGTAGGGGTGGGTCAAACCGAAAACTGAATTGAATTGTGCCAAAAAATAAAATGAACCTATCGATAGAGCAATCACCGAATATGAAAATCCAAACCGAACAATTTCCAAGTTGTTCTGTTTTTTCGTTTTGAACTATGAAAACCGAACTGAAACGGAAAAAAACCAAAATATGTAAATTACAACTAAGAGTCCCATGATGAAGGAAAAAAATTAATCATTTTTGTTATGCTTAATCCCCAACTTTTGTAAATTTAATTATTTAACTTGTTTTACTTTTGCATATTTAATTGTTTAAATTCTTTTTCTAAGTTTATTTTTTTTGGTAATGATAAGCCTTCTTTTTGCCTCAATTTATTTTTTGATGAAAAAAATAAAATTAAAAGGTGCTCCGTATAAAACTCTAAATTGCTTCATTTTTTTACATATTTAATTTTGAAGATGAAAGTCAAAGTTTGGAAATAATGTTTAAAACTTTAATTACATGTCGACTTGACTTCTTGAACTTTTATTTTTTATTACGAAGTATGAACAATTATAAGGTTATGTTGGTTGTTTTAAATGTGAACAAATATATTCTCTATGAACTTCCTTAATTTTGGGTTGTAATTCTAGTATTTGGATAAATACTTGTAAATTTTTGTAGTTTTTTTATAATTTTTAATGTGACAAGTGTGATATACTTTTGAAAAAATGTTTTTTTTGAAAATCAAATAATCGAAAAAACCGAGAATCAACCGCAAAAACGGAACCAAAAAACCAATATTTCACATTTTTTTAAAAAAAATCAAACCAAACCGAACCACCAAATTAACTTCCGTCTTGTTTTTGGTTTAATTTTAGGGAAGGAGGTAGTATAGAGACTAAAGGATAAGGGATAAATAATTGATTTGAAAACAACTTTAGAGTGGATCATAAACCTTTTTAGGAGTAATTTTTCTCGAATAATTATAATTTTCAAAATGGGGAAATGGGAATATAATCTCGTAAGAATAAGATAAAAAACGAAAATTTGAAATATCAATGTTTTTGTTTTGATTTATGTAGCTCCACCATCCGAATGTTAATGATCAGCTAAAATAGACGGGGCATCTCCTCCCTTGATAAGCCGCCGTGATAACGCCGTTCCTCCCAACTCCGACCGGGCAGTTCGCATGCACCCGGTGGCGGCGGCTGTGCCACCACGTGGACACCCTGAGTTGAATCACCGACGTCAACTGCACCTGAAAAAGCACCATCCCCCTGGACCGGTCGGCCTGGAACTGCTGCCACCGTTGGTTCGTCACCGTCAGCGTCGCGCCGCTCAGTTCGCCGGCGAACACGGTGGTGTTCTTCGGCGGCTGAGAGAACGGGGCCAGAAAAGAGGCCCCACCGATGCTCTGGTCCTGGTAGACCACCGTGAGCCGCATCGCATCGTAGTTAAACTCGATCCCCTGGTTCGAGTTCCTCACCGTGACGTTGAAGATGACGTGGGCGCCCTCGAAGCCGTTCTCTTGGGCCAAACCGGGTACGGAGAAGTATTCCGTGAATATTCTGGGCCGGTGCGGGCGGAGGTTTAGCCATAGAATGAAGAAAATGAGGCCCAAACAGGCGAGAAGGCCCAAGACAACAGTACAGATTAGTTTCGAGACCCTCGTGGTTAAGCTCTCTTTCACCCTGTGCACGTAGTAACGGGCGGTGTGGTTGCGTTTCAGATTGCCGCCGTCGCGGTGGTGGGCCGGCAGGCGGCCGTCGGAATTGTACATTTTTAATGTTTAGATAATTAACTAGTACTATTATTATGAGCACTGTATATAGGGAGTAAGGTTTATTTATATGTTTGTACTATGAAATGGGAACAACGTAAATACGTAATAAGGTGGCGGGGTTTGAAAGTAATGGCAAATGAGGGATGGGAATGTTTTGGTACCATGTAGAAAGCAAGGTATACATGCCTCCTTTGACAAGAAGCAACATTTTAATATTCTACGTTGTACGGATTCTTCAAGTAGGTGTCGTTTCATGTCTCTAAAATGTCTTCAGTTGGATACTTATTCTAACGCATAATTAAATCGCTTATAAATTTTGAAAAAAATGGTGTTTTCACAGTTTTTCACTTTATTCGTGTATAAGCACTTGTCTCCGTCGTAGTGCGACTTAAATAAATTTGTTCTTCCTTGTTTTGATAATTGTTCTTGATGGGTGTATTTCACCCATGACCGGTCAAAGGTCCGAACCAGAAAATTGACCGGTCAAAGAAGTCGAGCTCGAAAGGAAGTGATGAGTCGTCAGAGGATTGACCCAAAACTTTGACCGGTGTACTTCGGATAGTATACCGGTCAAACTCGCCTATGGTCTAAATCCATCCTTCGAAGTTGGCCAAACCAACCTACAAGAACCAACTGGTGCAGTTTTTAGAGATTGGGAAGTGTCGGTAGGAGGAATCCAAAAGGACTTGGACTGTAGTGGTTGGAATTGCATAGATGCTCGAGGAATATTTCCAAACCAGAACGCGACAAAGGCGCAGCCCCCCACGCAAGAGGACAAGGCAGCCCAGAAGCAGTCACCTCCCACCTGCGGCAGCGTGATCCCACGTGGGTGCACGTGGTCCTGCCCCCCTAGCTTAGTATATATACCACTTGTAACCCTCGAGGAAGGGATCCGAATTCATTCTCTCTAAACTCCCTTGTAAAAGTGACCGTGCATTCTATGTTTTAATACAATTCGGACTACAGGTGTTCCACCTAAAGTCCTACCGGTCATTCTGAGTGTTTTCACTTTCTTTACTTTTACTAAATCTAGCCAACTGTTCTAGACCCGGTCTAGTATATTTTGACCGAGCAAGTAATTTACACCATCATTTTTGGCGCCGACCGTGGGACCGTTAAGGTTTCTTCTCTTCTAAGCACAAACCTACCCACAAAACACCACTCGAAATGTCTTCTAGCCAGCAAATCAACGTTACTTCTGCTCAGGTGCAAGCCACCACTGAAGGTACCAACACCCCCATGGTTGCTACCTTGCCAGCCGTTTCAACTCCGGTTTTGCCGTTGGGACTAAGCTCGGTCCCAACACCCAGCATGGTCAGCCCATTCACGGCCCCCGTCCCTTCCGCTGGGCCAAGGGTCACTTTCCCACCAAGCATGACACAGTTCATGAATGACCCAGCCAATCTGCAGGCCATCCAAGGCTTTGGCCAGGTCATGGCTATGTGCCAGCAGAATGGGGGGATGCCTTTCCTCCCTGGTATGTTCCCGTTTGCTCTTCCAAGCGCGGGAACCATGCCCCTTCAAGCTCCGATGGCAGTGACGTCGTTCCAGACGCCGGTGCCGCAACCATCACCTTTCCAGCCGCAGCTAGTCAGCGCTGTGGCCCCCATCAACTTGGCAGGTGCGCTTAACGCCGCGGGGCCGTCGCGTCCCCCGCAAGGTACGAATCCGCTAATTACTCCGGATGGTCACTGCGTCTCGGTTGAAAGCGGAGACGATGAGTGGGACATTCCAAGGACCCACAAGAAAAAGAGGGGAAAAACTATCCGCCCAGCAACTTCCCGAAACTCCGCCTTCGAAAGGCTGGGGGATAGGGAAGAGGGCCAAAGAAAGTCAGCCAAGTTGAGGCTGGGGCAAAGCGTTGCCCATGTCAGCGCGTTTGCCCGGTTGGGTGAGATGAGGGAGGCCGAGCCTGCCCGCACCCAACGCTCCCGGTCAAACCGGCAGGGGCCAGCCAGGACGAGGGCCTCTCGCCAGGAGGAGGAGGCAGAAAGCCAACCCAGGGTACCGGTGGCTAACCGGTTAACCACCCCCAATGATCGCGTCCAACAGATGGAGGCAAAGCTGGAGAGGCTTGAGAAGAAGGTTGGGGAGAAGAATGACCGGGAGAAACCCCTCGCAGGGTCCCCGTTCACTACAAGGGTCCATCTGACACCTTTCCCACGAAAGGTCAAGATAGACGCCCCAAGGTTTTCCGGTAAGGAAGATCCAGAAATGCATCTGGATTCTTTCAATCAAAGTGCAACCATGAATGGTTGTACAGACGAAGAAAAGTGCCTCCTTTTCTTCCAAACCTTGCGGAATCGGGCTACTGAATGGTTCAACAAACTTCGCCCGGGAAGTATTGACTCGTTCAGTGACTTGGCCTCAAAATTCAAGGCCAAGTTCCAGGAGAACTGTACTAAGAGGAAGAAGTTCACCTATCTTAGTACGGCCGGGCAGAGGGAATCTGAGAACCTCACCCAATTCCTTACCCGGTGGAAGGAAGAGGTAGACAAGGTGGAAGAGATGGATGACAAAACCGTGTTGTCCCTCCTCCTGAACGGCTTGCGTGCTGGGGAACTTTACAAGGAGTTCTGCGGGAAACCCCCGGCCACGTACCAGGAAGCCTACCATACTGCGTGGGAGTTCGCCGAGGCTGAAACTCAACTCCGGGCGAAGAAGGAAGCCGAGCATGGTTACAAGCCCAAGACGGTGCAAGTCAAGAAGGAAGAAGTGCCGGTACCCAGCCGGCCGAGGCATCACTATGACCCGGTCGTCCGCGTGGTCAACACAGAGGAGTGCCAAGAAGTAAGAAAAGCACTGGTCATTCCTCCGGAAATTCCTACCGGTCAAACTGGGCGTCAGTGGTCGGGCACCTATTGTTCGTACCACAGGTCAGATTCCCATAGCACTTCCGAATGCAAGAGTGTTAAGGGGGTAATCCGGCAAATGATAGACAGCGGAGAACTGGGCAAGGATTATCTGCAGAAAGCCCAGGAGAAGAGTCATCAATGGGTTAGGCCAGCTATCCCGGAGGATGACCGGGACAACGACCGGCGGAGGAATAACCGGCCGAAGGAGCGGCAACCTGTCCCTGAAAAGGAACACATCGGCATGATCTTCGGCGGACCTGAGGGTGGAGACTCAGCCGCGCAACGGAAGAACTGGGTCCGAAGCATTTACGTTGGTGAGGTTAGCGCTGAACCGCCCAGGCGTAAACACACTAGGAGGGAGCCGATCGTCTTCACTGACTGGGATCTCCCTCCTACCGGTGAAGATCACAATGATCCTTTGGTCATCACCATGGACATTAATGGGGTGGATGTCGCCTGGGTACTTGTTGACACCGGAAGCAGTGTCAACATCTTATACCTGGAGACTTTCCAAAAACTCAGGTTGTGTCGGACACAACTTGAACCCCTCAAAACCCCTCTATCAGGCTTCACGGGAGACACAGTGGAGGCTGAAGGGTCCATAGTCCTACCGGTCGAACTAGGATCGGGCGAAAAAACCGTATGGAAGAAGATGCGGTTCATAGTTGTGGACATCAAATGCGTCCACAACGCGATCCTTGGAAGGCCGGGCATCAATAAGGTCGGGGCGGTAATTTCCATGCCTCACCTGTGCATGAAGTTCCACACTCCAGATGGTGTGGGTGAGGTGAAAGGCAACCAGAGGAACGCCCGGGAGTGCTATGCCCAGGCAGTCAAGAAGATGACCAAGGGGGTCAATGTCATCTCCCAAGAGATCACAAAGGGAGAGACCCGGGAGAAATTGGAGCCCGAGGCCGAGACGGTGGAAATCGAACTTCACCCGGGTGATTCTTCGAGGATGGTCAGAATTGGAGCGAATCTCCCCGAAGATCTCAAGGCAGAGATTACACGGGTGCTCCAAGAGTACGCGGGCATATTTGCATGGAGCGTGGCAGATATGCCCGGAATTGACCGCTCAATCATCTGTCACCGGTTGGCAGTAAGGGAGGGAAGTCGACCGGTACGCCAGAAGAAAAGGTATCTGGCCAGCGACCGGCGAGACTTCGTCAAGAAGGAGGTGAAGGACCTCCTTAGTGTTGGTCACATTCGGGAAGTTAAATACCCAGATTGGCTGGCCAATGTGGTCCTCGCTCTCAAGGGGGACACATGGAGAATGTGTGTGGACTACACGGACTTGAACAAGGCGTGTCCGATGGATTCATACCCCCTCCCCAGTCCTGATCAAATGGTGGACGAGACTGCGGGGTGCGAACTCCTAAGTTTCATGGATGCATTCAAGGGCTACCACCAAATCTACATGGCCGAGGAGGATGAAGAGAAAACGTCATTCCTCACCCCCGAAGGAACATACTGCTACCGAGTGATGGCGTTTGGCTTGAAGAACTCGGGGGCAACCTACCAGCGCATGGTGAACAAGCTCTTCAAGCCACTGCTGGGAAAGACCATGGAGGCGTACGTCGACGACATGCTGATCAAAAGCCAGGTATCCCTCAACCACCCGGCTGATATGCGTGCCACATTTGATATCATGGCAAGATACAACCTACGGTTGAATCCTAAGAAATGCGTCTTCGCGGTTCGTACCGGGAAGTTCTTGGGATTCATGGTGACCAGGAGATGAATATAGCCCAACCCAGAAAAAATTCGGGCTATCACTGAAATGCAGGCCCCCACATCTGTGAGGGATGTCCAGAAGTTGACCGGTCGTCTAGCGGCACTCAGCCGGTTCCTTTCCCGGTCAGCTGAAAGGTCCCTGCCTTTCTTCAAAGTCCTGAAGAAGGCCAATACATTTGCATGGGACGAGGAGTGCCAGAGGGCATTCGAGGAGCTGAAAGAGTACCTAGTGTCGGATATTNGTTTTAATAAGAGATGATGGGGCACAAAAGCCCATTTATTATGTGAGCAAAGCACTAAACGGAGCAGAAAGTAGATACACGGCGATGGAAAAAACAGCCTACGCGCTTTTCATCTCCGCAAAAAAGTTAACATCCTACTTCCAAGCTCACCCGGTAGAAGTCTTGACTGACCAACCGCTGGGTGCAGTGTTGCGTAATTCA